AGGAAGAAAGAGGGAAAGTCTCCAGAGAAAAAATTGTGGTCAACGGCCTTCGAAAAAGACTTTCCAGAATCGCACTGTCGTCCCTCCACGCGCTGATATGAAAGCACCCGAGCTTCTACCACGTGGTTCATGACACAGCCTGAGCCATGTCGGCGACCGGTTCGCGAGGGGTTGGCGGTGGGGTTACGTTGATGGTCACTCGGATTAGCCCTTGCTGTACTGAGCTACCGCCTGCAGTGCCTTATCGCCGGCTGGTGTCAACAACGAGAACACACACACCCTGTCTACACCAAAACTACAAGCGTTCACCGCACACGCGTCGCCGCCGCTTTTAAGCTTTTGTGAAATTGCTTTCTTTTGCCGCGGAGAACCGCCTTATCTTAACTACGCGCCTGAAATCCTTTCAGGCGGGCGTACACAATATCAAGCGTTTCGAGAAATGCCCGTGGAGTAGAACTATGGGAAAATTCGGAGCCCGCGATGTCGATATCGTCGCCGTTGTGTTAGTACGCCGTCGCGTACTGCAGTCCCCCGTTGGGGGAGGGGGGGGGGGGGCGGTCTTACTACGATAACATGGCGACAGCGTTTACACTCTATGTATTTACGCGAGGCTCGAGTATTTGGGGATAATGCTGCCGGTTGGTGTGCCCCTTTGTGCCTGATATTATCGCCCGTGACGCCAGCGAGTGAGATGGCGACAGGCATGACTGCTCAGTAAACAGGCGTCGGCGGCCATGTTTTGCTGGTTGAAGCGAACCCCCTTGTCCTTGACAGCGAGCGGGGAAATGCGAAAAAAAGATTGTATCGGCCGTTTTGCCAGAGCTAGCGACGAGTGTCGTCTGCGGTTTCCGGCAACTATTTTGCCATAATCGTGAGCTTAGCGAGGAAATGATTTTTGCTAGCCACAGAACACCACCACGCAGAAAGGGAATGCTTGAACATGTTTTTGTTCTGGATATATATCAGGGATATAAATGAGAGAGAGAGAGAGAGATAGATGAAGGTAGAGCGGAAGAGGGAATAGCATATAGTGTCGCAGGAGAATAGGAGAATAAAGTAAACAAAGTTCCTAGTGGCCGATGGCTGCATGATCTTTTCTCGGATCACTAGTCCGTAATATGATACCTCTTTGTACACAGTAGTTTCTCCTTAATTTAAGTGTGTGAACGATTTCTTTAGTTATCATTGGCCTCATCTGAATAAAAATATATAAAAGATGTGTGTTGGTTTCATGAAACTGTAGGCATGTGCGAATATTCGATTTTTCCGAATATTCGAACGAATAGTACATTATTCGGTATTCGCTTCGATCCGAATTCCGATATTCGTAAAAGTTCGAAGTATTCGGCACTAACGAATAGCGAAAGGAAGGCCGATTGTATCTGGTAGTTTCGGTTTCGGTTGTTACTCACGAAAGCCGCATCGGCATCAAGAAATAAAAAATATCCAATCCAATCCAAGACATGCTAAACCGATCAGAAAATCGTGCGTCGCAGCCGTCGCAGCTCCACAAAGGATTCCGAAGTGTGCTCGCTTTAGGTGCTGCGTGTTCGTTCGTATGGCTGACGGGTCATCGACGGCAGCCGGGAACGATGAAAGTGAAGCCGGTGCGTATCGAAATCCGATATGGAACTACTTCTTGAAAGTGCCACCGGGAAATGCTCGGTGCCTCTAATGCAAGGCAGTGCTGAAAACTCTAACGGGTACGACAACGACCCTCGCAACGCACCTGAAAAGGCACCCTGATTCGTACAAGACTTTCGAATGTGAGCGTCAAGCACGCGGGAGTGCCGTCAAACACAAGAGCGGGAGTAAACCGAATCATCAGCAGCCGTCGGTAGCCGACAGTTTCAAGCCCAAACTGAAACCGACTGCACCCAAAGCGAAACAAATGACGGCGATAATAGCGAACTTCATTGCTAGCGGAATGCATCCGTACAGCATCGTAGAAGAAAGTGGTTTCATTGAAATGATGAAGCTTGCCATGCCCGACTACATCGTGCCATCGCGGACGACCTTCTCGCGGGTTGTCATCCCGGATCTGTACGAGTCCAAAAAGAAAGAACTAAGAAAGAGTCTGCGAGACATTTTCAATAGCGGAGCAGAATGTTACTCCATCACGACGGATGGCTGGACCTCGCACGCAAACAATAGCTACGTCTCCGTGACTTGCCACGTGATGGACGAAGAATTTGGACAGCACGTGCACGCTTTGGCTTGTACGGACATGACGGACTCCCACACGGCCGAAAACCTGGAACAGTTCATCAAAAGTGCTATCGAGGACTGGGAAATACCAGCGCCAGGCACCATGCCGATTTATGTAGTCACGGACAACGCTAGGAATTTCACCTCAGCGTTTGCACGGTCACCGTGGTCTGGCGTGCAGTGCTTCGGACACACTCTCCAGCTGTGCATCAGCAACGCCAAAAAAGAAGTGGCGGGTTTCTCGCAGTTATGTGCGAAAGCTAGAACCATTGTGGCTCGATATAAAAGGAGTGCAAAGGCCCGCGGGTGCCTTATGGAAATCCAAAAGAACATGAACCTTGAGCCACTTGAAGTTGTGCAAGATGTTCCAACACGTTGGAATAGTGAACACGCCATGATGAAGAGGCTTGTGAAGCTTCGCGTGCCCGTCAGTGTGGAGCTGTCGGAATGTGACACAGTGGAACCTCTCAGTGCAAGTGAGTGGAGGCTTATGGCTGCAGTAGTGCAGGTCTTGCAGCCTCTCGAGCAAGCCACAGCTGAGCTGTCTGGAGACAGCTATCCGACCCTCTCCCAAGTGATCCCCTTATTAGAGTGCACCAAGGTTGTTCTCAGTCGACACTCTACCGATGAAGCAGGATCAGTTGCCTCAAGCCTCATACAAAGCATCAAGACACGATTTCCAGATGGGAAGATGTGTCGCCTTCTAGCCTTGTCAATGTTGGTGAACCCCAGGTACAAGGACGGGTGCTACACTGGAGAGGCAGAAAAAAAAATGGGCACGCACACTCCTGACGAAGGCCGTTGAGGAGAGCGCATCAGTGGACGAGCCTAGTGATGCAGCCGCCGAAACCAGCGGAGGAATAGGAGACTCGTTAGGAGATACCCTGTGGGATGTCTTCACCAGTCTTAGCTCTGACACGCACCAAAAGCCAGGCCACGAATTCGCTACCGAGGCTATTGAGTACCTGAAGACACCCCTCCTTGCGCGCACAGAAGACCCCTTGGCATGGTGGAGGTGCAGGGGAAGACATCTGCACCCATCCCTGGTCCGTGTTGCCCGTAGGTATCTCTCGATACCAGCAACCCAGACTAGGAGTGAAAGGCTTTTCTCAAGCGCAGGAAGCATCGTGAGCTGCAGGAGGGAGCTTCTCCTCCCTGATCATGTGCAGCAGCTCGTGTTCCTTCATGAAAATCACTGACTTTTCTTGTACTAAGTTTTGATTTGTGCATGATCTTAAGTTTTGATTTGTGGCTGTGTTGCAGTGAAAATAAATGGTCGGTGAAGTGACCACTGCATAACTTTTGCTAATAATTTTTCCTACAACTATTCGAATTATTCGCTTCGAAAATATTCGAAGCAAATTACTATTCGCTTCGAATTCGCTTCGAACTAAAAAAACACTATTCGCACATGCCTATGAAACTGGAACTCAGAGTCAGTTCTTGTATAAAACACTGCTAAGTGTAGGCTTTGAAAAAGGACCCTACTTTGGGGAGTTGTATCTTCTTTCTCAATAAAATGATGCAACATGTTTTTAATGGAAATGAATGCCGAAATAGAGTATAACAGGTTACCTAAATTTAAAAAAAATCGAGGGTGGTGTTTTTTTTTTATTCGCATCGGAATTTTTCTTTGTTTGATTTTTTTTTCCATGTTTGACTAAATATATCCTAACTATTGTATCACACAGATACCTTAGTTATTTTTTAAATATTAGCTATATATTAGTAGAATAATATCTGCAAATTATATCATAATGATTAAATTATTTCATGAGATACAGACCTCCAAAGTTTGCCATTTGTCGTTCGAGCAGGCATGTTTGTCAATTTTTAGAAAAATAAATAAATTTTAAATAAATATGATTACTTTATATTACAAGCAAGCTATACCCATAGTTTGCGCCTAAAACGTATTAGAGTTCTCCTAATGTTATCGCTTTAGTTATTCACTCTCAAACGGGCCCCCTCCATCAGTGCGCGTTGATGCAACTGTCCACCACCTCATGCATTACGATTTTTCCTGTCCCCAAGTATTTTTTCTAGTCAAAACTAAGTTTGGATTCGTTCATACCAGACACTAGACAATAACATATAAAAACATCAGTTGATTTGAAAATGTCGACTAGCCATCCTTTGGTCGATCTTATCTGAAATCACCCTATATCTTTTTTCTTTTGTTAATCTCCCTCTCTCTTGTGCACTCATCCACAGATCGCTGTGACATAACTGCCATGGTAACATGGGGCTGCAAGCTTTCCAAGAATGTTGCCTTATATGCCACTGCACTCCACATTTCCCAAGTGTTCTGGGCAGGGTGTAAGCACACAGACTCTACTGTGGTTTTACCTTCTTCAGGTAGTCAAACCAGAAGTCCATAGAAAGCATTTCTAAAAGCTGCTCAATGTTGGGGGATAAAATGCATTTTTGTATCAGTATTTTTAGTAGCCAAAATTTTGGACTCTAAAAATTTTTAAAAAAAGTCTAGTTGCAAGCTGTGGTTCTTACCGATTGGGATATCGTACCAAAAAAAAAAAGCAACTTCCAAAGCAAAGCATCACATGCAAGACTGACATAATCCCCAAATTCAAGCAACACAAAAAAAAAAAAAAGGTATTTTAATGCATTTTGGCACACCTGGTGTCGTGCCACCAGAGTGAGCATTGTCCACGTAAATATGGCTATTGATGCAAAGGTTTAGAAACTGGCTCTCGCCCTCCCCCGGGTAACTGTGTGCACAGTCGTGCCAAAAGCGACTTCCTCGACGCTCGACGGAGGGAGAGAGGACTTGCCTTGGAGTGTTGAAGCAGCGTCTCGAGCACCTCCAGGCGTGCCACGACCTCGTCCATCGTCTGCTGCAGACGCAGCACAGCCACTGCCAGCTGCTCGCTCACTTCCAGGGGCAGCCTGTGGTGGCCACGCCCGCTGCCGCCACTGCCGCCCATGCCGCCAGGGTAGCCCCTCGGCCCGACGTGACGGCCGTCCGGTGGGAGACCGTCTGCTCCGAGATCACCCTCTTGCAAACGCATCCGCACCAAGTTTTTACGTGAGCGCCACGTTCGTGCTCCTACCCCGCCGTGTGAACCGCACTTTGACTCGACCAAGGCCAAGCCAAAGGGTACTCTACCCTGTTGCAGAATAAGAAAAGCAGAACAAGCTGCTACCGCAAAGCTCTCCATTCTTTTTACTTTAGCGAGTGAATGCTGGAATGCAGGCGAGGAAACTTACCTCCTCTTTCGCCTCCTCTCCAGCGTTCGCTTTCTAAAGTGGAAAGAGTGGAGGGCTTTGTAGCCCTAGGAGCGTGTCCTTCTTTTCTTCATCCGCAACTTGCAACTTCTGCCAGCTTGAGCAGTAGATAATTTGTCACGAAAAGGAAAAGATTGCTAATGTTGCGACGTATAGACGCAAACTATTTGGCAAACTTAAATGCACAAATGAAAGAGAGGCTTTTCCTTCTCTCCTAATATCAGAAAATCTGAGTGCATCTCTCAATTCTTAAAGGCTGACCTGCAAAATCGTTTTCTGCTAGGCAGAAAACCCTTTTCCAGTGTCCTCTCAATCCTATCTTGTGTCTTCCCTCCTCCTTCCCAAAAAGGAGCAGGTCTGACAGCTAATCCCCACACAAAGGAGGGGCTTCCTCCTATCTGGCTGCGTGTTGGGCTTTAACTTAGTACAACACGATGGCCTAGAAACTCAGCATAACCTCAAAATAATAGCTTGAAAGCAAACAGAACTTCAATAAAACTTTAAAAAATAAACAATTCTGCAACTGTTGTGGGGGATTGGTGGTCGAGTGGGCTAGCGCACACTAGCTTGGAGCACATGGAGCGAAAGCTCATGCTGCAAAACCCAGAGATTCTAGGTTCAATCCCCACCTCTGCCCGTTTTGATCTGGATGAGCATCATACTGGCGTGCGGTCATGTATTACTACTGCGTGGTGCACGTAAAAGACCCCAGGCCAGCGGTTGCACTGCACAGGCTAAATTGCTCATCTACAACCGAGGCACTAGATGTCCATTGAGCCTGACCAACTTCCGGCTGTATAAATGTACATACAACATTATTACTAATGCGAAACCATTACCTGTCGCATAAAGCAGAGCCGGTGGCATCTGTAACTGCAAAAAAAATGCGAAAGAAATTCCCATTCTCCCATTGGATGAGCAAAACGGCTCCTAGATAGCTATAGGCAGTGGCTTCACGAGAGTGCGCGCCTGGTCGCCGCTCTCGTGTCAGGCGTTGCCGGAAAGGGGTAGGGGGCTGCGGCCACTTCTGCTCCTCTCGATGCCGAGGAGCATGGTGGTGCCTGAAACATCTACCGGCGACTCCAGCGAAATCGACGTCACATAGCGGCAACGCTGAGAAGCTCGAAAGAGGAGGTTGTTTCGACTTAATTGTCTGCTATCGCAGCTTGGTTCTCGTAGGCAGTATTGAAACAAACATTGTTTCCAGTATTTATTTTTATGTTTCCACCATGTCATTTTTACGTACTGACCAGAAGGTTGTTACTGTCAAAAAAATCGCTTTGCTTTCATATGTAACACCGATTCTACGCTGCTGTGCAATAAATTTATGGTGGTCTGCGTGATGAACGACAAAAACAACCTCCTTTCGTCCGCCATTTTGCCAGAACAGCACACCCCCTATAGTTCGCTGGAGTCACCGAATATCGTCAGCAGTCGCAACCTCGGCAGTAGTGAAATGTGGCCGTCCACGCTAGTACACAGCAGACGAACTAAGGGAGCAGGAGATTGACATTCACGCTTTCGCATTCACAACTCATAAGAAGTACTTAGGTGTCTTCGGAATTTTTTATTACTACTATTATCATAACCGTTAATATTTCCCAGACATGTAACTTTTTTAGAGCGCAGCTCTTAGGGGCCCGTTTCCGGCTTGAGCGGCGTCGGCGTCGCCGTCGCCGTCGGCGTCGGCGTAACTGCGCGGTGCATCATGGGAAACGTCCCATAATGCACCGCGCGAGCCCCCCACCGGGGTCACGTGACCTCGTGGGGGCACGTGACCCCTCCGAGGTCACGTGACCGCGGTGCATCATGGGAAATGTCCCATAATGCACCGCGGGGGGGGGTCACGTGACCTCGGGGGTCACGTGACCCCGCCGAGGTCACGTGACCCCCGAAGTCACGTGACTCCCCTGAGGTCACGTGACCCCCGCCGATGTCGCGTGACCCCCAATGACGTCATCGTCACTGATGACGTCACCGGCATCCACATCGTCATCGTCATCATCACTGATGACGTCATCATCACTGATGACGTCACCGGCATCCACATCGTCATCGTCATCATCACTGATGACGTCACCGGCATCCACATCGTCATCGTCATCATCACTGGTGACGTCACCGGCATCCTCATCGTCATCGTCATCATCACTGATGACGTCATCAGTGACGTCACTAATGTCGTCACCGGCATCCACATCGTCATCGTCACTGATGCATCACCGGCATCCGCATCGTCATCGTCATCATCATTGATGACGTCACCGGCATCCGCATCGTCATCATCACTGATGGCGTTACCGACATCCGCATCGTCATCGTCATCATCACTGATGACGTCATCAGCGACGTCACTGATGACGTCACCGACATTCGCATCGTCATCGTCATCATCACTGGTGACATCACTAATGACGTCATCGGTACCCGCATCGTCATCGTCAATGATGACGTCATCAGTGACCTCAGTGATGACATCATCGGCATTGGAGGTCACGTGACCCCCAGGGTCACGTGACCCCCCCCTGGTTAGTTTAACCCCCCCCCCCCCCCCCCAGTGCCGTTCCCTCCTCCTCCTCAAGAGCTGCGCTCTAATTCGGCGTTACAGGGAGTTGTAAGCAGCTTTCACTTTTTTATATTGATTTTGTATTTTTTGTAAAAATTTGAAAAATACTCAAAACAACAGGCGAGCTGGTGACAATTATTCATCTTTGAAAAACCTTTAGACTGAGAAAAACAGAAAAAAGGGTAGGCCACATGCAGTCGCACACAGAGACACAGAGTCTCAAAAACTCTGTGTGTGGTCCCCCCTTTTTTTCTTCTTTTTTTCCCTTTGTCTAGAGCTTTTTCCAAGCTGTACAACTTGCTTTTTTTTATTTCTTATACAGCTCTTGACTCGCTGAATTGTGATATGTGGCTGCAACTTTTGGTGAACGGGAGGTTTAAAGGACTGGGGGCAGGTGTGCTGTGCGATGATGGTTGAATTGACACGTTGCTGTATGCCCTATTTTTTATTGTAATTTGCAAACACATAAGCTGAACATAATTTTCCCACGAAATGTAACCTAAGCTGCACAGTATTTCCTACCACAACAACAGGAAGGACAGATGGCATGAAAATGGAATCACTAGATCTCTAGCCTTCTCTAAGCAGCTTAAAAAAAAGAACTAACAAAATTTTCATTACTACTCGTCATACTTTAAATGACTGGATTGAAACTAAACAAATTTCCTCACACTGACAAGAAAGCCGTGGCTCAAGGTGCCCGTGACGGACAGACAAAGGCCAACAGGAGAAAGAGGGAGAGGGAGGTTGCACTCACCCCTCCTGCGGTATCCCCTGGGGTACCTCCCCGTACCTCCCAGGCCACCCTTGGGCAGGGGCCCCGCCTTCCGCTGGGGGTCGTCGCCCCCTCCCCGCACGTTGGCCAGGTCCCCGTTGGGGGGCTTGCCGCCGCTATCCGCGTAGAACGCCCACAACTGGCTCTCCGAGTCCTGCACCAGCACGCGGTCTGTGCCGCTTCGGAGTGCCTCCGTGACTGCATCGTCCAGCATGGTCGAATCCTCCCGAGGCTGTGGGGACCCACTCTCATCGTCCTCCTGCGACCCACGGCGTCCCCCCGTTGGCCGCTTTGAGCAAGCCATCTTCTACGACAGTGGTTCTCCAATGGGGATCTGCAGACCCTTTGGGGCCCGCAAGGCCTTCTTAGGGACACTGAAGCCCTTGATCGTCGATCAAACTAAGCAGTAAAATGTTTTAATTTTATTTATGCTGGTTTTCTTACAACGCTAAATTTACTTAACCACGTTTGCCAAGCGAGTAAGATTGATTATGGTTCGTTTCAGAGATTCTAAGTTGGTTTTCGCGCGTCTAGCTTTATTCGTTTACCCTTTCGTCGTTTTAATTGTCCGATGCTCCCACGCCGCCTCGGTGGCTCCAAGACAAAGTGCCAGCCCACGGATTTCCGATGGTGCTTCCAAATCCCGGTCGAGGTGCCCGCAATCTGACAGAGGCTCGTCACAGAAAGGTACCACGTAACTGAGATTTCGGTTGCACGACAAAAGATCCCCGGGTGGTCAAAATTACTCCGAGGTCCTCCACCGAGGCGTGTTGGGTGCCCTCTGTTGGGTTGGCACGTTAGACCTTTCGAATTTGATTTGAATCTTGGCAATACACACCTCCCCCCAGTCGACAGGGTGCCCCGTCACGTCTGCCGATTCAGAAGAGATCTCCGAAACGTCGGTGGTTGAGAACCACTGTTCTTAGACGAGAGTTCTCAAACTGGAATTCTTAGGAACTAGAGGGGAGTTCCTTAGAACAGGGGTTTTGAAAATTTCCAATCTTAAGGAACACCTACCTATCTCTCTAGACTGATTGCCAAGGAATGCCTCTCAGTCTCGGCATTCATGCGATAAAGCAATACAGAAGTAAATAGGCCACATAAGCAGTGTTGCTTATACCAGGGAATGACAGGCATATAGTTGTGCATCAGTGGATGACTAAAATCTGCTAAAGTATTGCCTTGGCAGGGAAAACTCTCTACCTAGAAGCAGGGACGGTCAAGGAAGTTCGGAGCTTGGAAACCTCAGAAGCTACTCTGGCGAACCCCTGTGTTCCTAGGAACTAAATTGGAGAACCCATGCATCACAGTACCCTCGTGGGTTCTCCAAGTGCCAAATTTTGTAGACAGTTCCTGCCCCTAAGCAAGCTGATTTTTCCAGTTTAAGCATTATTATAGCAGATCATCTATCAACAAGTCAAACACACCCTAATATGTGCCTTACAGTTCACAAGGTCTCCATGCTTTTTCACTCCATTGCAGCAATGCCAAAAATGGAAAGGCTTCCTTGGCTACCAATATAAAGTAATGGGGAGGTTCCTTCGGAAAGTTTGAGAAACCCTGATCTAAGCAAAGGGTTCTCAAGAACCCAAGGGAGGTTCCCTAGATTACCCTCAGCAGTTCCCCATACTCCTGAGTCTCTTTGGCCATCCCCGCCCCTAAGTAAAGTGTTCCTTCGGCATAGGAACAACTTGAGAAGATCTTGGCCACCCATCAATGCATGACTATGTTCCCAAGACTCCCTGCTATGGGCGGTATTGTTTACGAGGTCAGTAAGTCACTGTTTTAAAGGAAAACTGAAAAGGTTCTTGTAAAAAAAGGAGTTAGGGGTGAATTCTAGAGTATTTTTATCCCATGAATCTGAATACAGTCTAACCTCAATTTAACAGACCTTGATTTTGACCACGATTTTTGTCTTTTGTAAAAGGACTATATGTTGTACCATTGAGTCAATGGTATATAGAAGAAAAAATTGGTATGTTATATCCAAATGTCTGTTGTAACCAGGTCTGTTGTAATGAGCTTAGACTGTATAACGTTCGTTTCGCCCTAAGATGTAACAAATACGAGGATCTTTCGGCCGCAAAGCGCGTGTCGCTTGTATGGGCAGCATGTGCTATTGCAAGCTTGCCAGGTATATTTCCTGGCACTGACACCGGTCGTGAAGTTTTTTTCTGACCTTTTTTGAAGATAGCAAGAAGGCACATGCATAGCTTTGATAAGCACTGAAGATGCACGAGAGCGGAGATTTTCTACAGCCCCCAAGCACCAAATTGAAAAATAATATCAATATTCGTGATCCTGGAGGCCAAATGAAGACGATTGAAGTGTTTTTACTCAAATACCGAACCGCTTCAGTTTTCCTTTAATGCGTCAATGCCGAGACCCAGAGGGGTTTCTCAGCCACCTAGAAAGGGGGACTGGCATCCCTCTTGATCAAAACGTTTGAGAGCCCCTGTTCTAAAGGACGTGTGGCGAACGTGCCGGAACAGATCACCTCGCTTTTTTAGGCCAAATGTTTTCTAGAAAAGAAGAGATAGTCCCAGTAGCGACAGTGGTGCTGTGCCAAATTCACCGAAGAAACCATGAAATGATTTGCGAGCTTTTACTTGATGGTAGCCCCTATAAATGCCGAATGATAATAAAATCCAGGACAGGAATCCGTTTTCATTTCAGAGCGTTAGTAACTTTTACAGAAAGAAAGTATGAAAGCTTGATTCAGCTCACCACCTCGTTTCGCCAACGAAACAAATGATTATATGTGCTGTTACCTTCCAGCTCGTGACGAGAACAGGTTATCCCAAGCTGCTGGATGTTCTTTTGCCAGCTTGTGCCATCAATGTTCATAACAGCCCCATGCCTACGGTGGCAATGCTAATAGCATCTGCTGCACACAGGCTGTGTTATAGTTGTTCGCTTTCCCTCACGGCACCAGTTGGTCAAGAACACAAATATTCACCGACGGATTGACTGTTACCGTGCACAGTGCAAGTGTAACGCAGTGCTCCTATCCAAATCGTAAGCTGGATTCAACTGATATGCTGGGGCAGGACCAAAACAGTCCACCCTTCTAAAATTCCAAAGCGCATATAAAATTTCTGGCTCCCTGCTACTATCATGTGCTGGTTTTCTTTTGCACCACTAATCGATAGGCAATTGGTAAAATTCTAACCGAATATTGTTTGATGGCACCTCTAGGCTTGTGGTTCTGTTCAAGACTGAAAGCCAAAGGGCTTTATCCCACTTGCAGTCTCCTTCACCGAGCTGTGCCACGTATGGGTACTATTCATCCCGAGCCTCACACACGCACACCACCGGTGCAGAAAAGTTTACAGGGTTCCACGACATAATCGACTACAGTAGAACCTTGTTGATTTGTTGCTCAATAATATACCTTCCCAGATGTCATGTTTGAGAATGCCACTTCCGTTGAACTAGCATACGGACGTGCACATTAATGACCCATTTGGTGCCTCTGGGAGCTGACACCCACCTCCCTTTTACTGCAGGCCCCACCAACCCTTCAACGCTGTGCTTCGTCCATGAGTGGGAAGGAGCTTAGAGTAGGTTTCGAAGGGAATCTGGCCTTCGAGATGGCCTGTTTACCTTTCCATTTCTCGGTCCGGCGGCAAACACTTCTGTTGAGCTCGGTTTCATTGGTTCCACCAGTCTCCTTTTGCATAAAGTTTAAAGCTTCTGCTGTTCGAGCAGCACAAACTCTGCACTCCTCCATGAAGGTTGTGGCATTGCAAAAAAGGAGGCTCTCACTTTTAATAAGTCTGAAAAACTATGGATGGGGGATTGCCATCCCAGTCGAAAGGGAATGGACATCGTAAGAGACTTCAGGCTCGCACCGTCAACGTTAATTGGTGCTAACAAACAATGGTGCCAGCAAAGATGCTGAAGATATGCAACAGATGAAGGGTGCTAATGCGAAAATGGGGACCTCTGTCATTCACTGTCAATAGTGTCGCAAGACTTCAACATCGTTGCCTCCAAACCGCAGACCATATCGGACATTGTAGCCGAGCTTGCTCAAAGCGACGAGGATGTGGTTGTGCTGCTCGAGACCTTGCACAGATATGTTGGTGTCTAGAGTTGCACAGGCACTGAGCACAGCCTTTGCTATCTCCATCTTTTGGGACTGCAACAGGTGGAAAAAGCCTTTCTTTATAAACCTGTCTGGGTTCTCCACAGCCATGAAAGTCTATGTGAAATAAACTGCTGCGTAAAAATTGCTTCGTGTTTCATCTTTAGCCCCCAAACCCGAAGGTTACTGGTTGACATGTTTTTCCAGACCATAGCTCTTTTACTGTGCACCCCCCCCCCCCCCCCCCCTTCCTCGAAAAACACATCAACGAAGTTCTACTGTGCTCATTTAAAGGGAAGATGGGGCACTTCTACATTTGAGAAAAAATGCTTGAATTGCGTTCATTTGGCCTTTAGAATAACAGATATCAAAATTATATTTCAATGCGACGCGCCAGAGAGCCACAAGAGCAATTTCAAAATAGGGCTGAAGCCCCGCCTCCCTAGCCTTGGGCAGCCAAAAGAGCCGTCGATTGCGTCACGGACAGCAACTGTCTTTCGCGTTTTTCTCGCGTTTGACAATACTTACGCAGCAAATGGTTTCGGTATTCGGGTTCGTGGGGTAAAAATACACTAGAATTCCCTTCTAACTAATTTTTTTCAAGAAGCTCCGTAGCTTCCCTTTAACATGAAGTCATGTTTCCAATGCGCCCTGAGGAAATCTGCTTGTTTACTCACTGTCAGCTAGAGTCACCTTGGCTTTGCCCAACCGGTGGCAGCGTCTGACCCAAGACTTAGTACAGTGATGTTTGGCTAATAAGGACACCTCCGTTCCCGACGTTGTACGTCGTTTGGACACTCCCGATTACACGGGACAAGGCAACCATCTCCCTCCTATGGACAAAACTCGCGGATTTGTCTACAATGACAACGGCCCGGGCAAACTTCTTCGCTGCTGCCGGCAATGCCCGGACCAAAATGAACCACAGTGTCGGCAACAGCTGAACTATAGGCCTGCACAGATGCAGATTGCAAGAGTGCACGTACGCAAGGCCACATAAAAAATGCTTTAACCCCCAAAGAAAATTGGCCACAATGTGAGTCATTCATTATGATGAGACAAAAATGCATGTATGTAATTGCCATATTTGTCCTCAAAAACTTTGTCTATTAACAGGGTGTCCACATTAATGGGTTCCATACTAACCAGAGATGACTGCAAGTCAATGCTACGAAATAAAGCTAAATGGAACCTAACAAAACTGGAAGTCTGAGCGCCACTAATGGCAGGAATTCTGAAAATCCACTCACGTCGCCCATGTGGTCGTACGTATCCGAGAATTCGTCCTCTTCACTGTCGAAGTTGGATGGATGACCGTTGAGGCCTCCAGAAACTGTGGGGGACAAAGTCGGTAGAGTAATTCTATGACGGAGGCAGGGCCTTCCTTTTCCCTTTCACCGACAACTCCTCATTAACGGAAGAGGTGTCGCATGCGACAAATTTTACTACAGCACTTGTGGGAAAGCGACCTTGCTGACCGGGTTTGGGAGGGACATAGTTTTTGCTTGGCATTTGCTAATTGTTATCTTAAACTAAAGTTTGACGAGCAGCAAGCTTTTTCAACCTTCAGACTTTGCGTGTGCCAGTTAAACATGCATAAATGCATTCATCTTTATTAAACAAGCACTGTTTCAAAACGGCTGGGCACAAGCAGGCAACACAACAACCCATGACAAAGTGTGTGCACGCTTCCAAGGTATTTGGGAGACGCAAAATGTCGCCTTCACATGCGCGGTGAACTGCCGCCCCATGTTGCATTCGTCGCATCTCCTGCAAGAGCAACAGTCGCTCCTCCCGCAATAATTGGAGTCGAAAATTTGAGACGGTGGAGATGCTCTGCTTTACAAACGGTGCATATACAGCTACTTTAGAAGTGGGCACAAGCCAAACACTCTGTGCTTCCCAGATAAAAAAAGACTACTTGGGGACCACTCACCGCTCGCTTTCCTCTCCGCCTTTTCTTCGGGCCTCTTGTCAGCCCTTCCGTAAACGGGCTCTTCCTGGCTGGGAACTGGGAAGGAGAAGGGGTTCCCTGACATTCAGACACAACAAAGGACTTTCCACAAAAAAGGTGCAACACAGCCAAACCAAAACTGAGGAAAATCGGGTCAATGAAGGCTCTCAAATATGGGTTGTGTCTGACACTTCAGTGTTGCACCTATTGGCCACTTTCCACTTGTTTGATGTCAATTTAAGTTCTCATGCAACTTCTGCTTTATGTTGTTTACTTTTCACTTTTTTATTGATCTGTTTAATCACGGTGCAGCACTTTGTCAGCGCCTTCGTTGGCACAAACAGCGAAGTTGAAGTTGGCACCATTTGGCACTATTTGTAGACAACATTTAGTCAACCAAACTTATTTCAATACTAAACCTATCAGCAAAACACCTTCGTGCTCGAAGACCACAAGAACGGCAAAAGGCCACTCTTCTCGCAGTCACACTAAGAAAACACGGACCACGAGAAGAACTGGAAGAGCCGTAAGAATGGGCAGATGGCAGCCATCTTGGTTATAGCAGAACTGGGAAACCAGACTATAGCCTCAACCCAGCTTGTTTATTGCGTAGGACGTGGCATGGAGGCTACAGGGCAAAATCAAAACAACCAAAATGGCAGCGACTATGCTCGCAGCGCAAACGCGGCGGCCGTTTTGTGGCTGTAAACTGAGCAAAATCACACAAGTTATGTCCGAAATATAGAGCAATAAGCTTTATGGCATCTCAAATTTCGGTGAATTTTATACATTAACTTTAGGAGGTGAGTGACAGTTCAGTGAAAACGTCCAAATAATTAGACGCGTCCGAAAAATCGGCGTCCGAATAATCGGTCGGCGACTGTAAAAGGAAACATTTTTATTGAGAAATGACCCTAATGACCCGTAAGAAACGACCTATTAGGATTATATATTTTGCCATATTTGTCATGCCTTTCATATGGAAAAAGATATTTTAAGTTTGATTGCAGATTCAAAATTAGCATTAAGAGACACATTTGTATATGTATCTAAGTGAGACATGATAATAAATAAGAAAGAATATTAAAAGATGCACTAAAGACGTTTCTGAGATTGTCTGTTCTTGGTGATAACTCATTCTACGGGATCTCAGCATCCCAGGAATCGAAAAATTGTTCTCGTGCAATGTATATTTAGGATTACCAACTCTTCAATGAAGGAAGTTGGGACGGAGAGGGGGAGGGGTGCAGCGTGAGGGAGGAGAAGGGAGATACAAAGGGGTTTATACAAATAGTGATGATGATGGTAACAGACGCCCACCGCGATTTCCGGCTTGCCATTGCTCTTGCATGCCAAAGTGGCTAAAGCTTCGCAGCCAATGCTAGACACTGCACCATTGCTTCATGTCATTTGCGCAAACTTCGTGTTCTGCAGCGTAGCGCAAATTGTTGGGCATACGTTGGATCACATATAAGATTTCTAACTCAACCGTCTGGACCAAATCCGGGACATATGGCTGTCCCGGCAGGGACGACGTGGGATTCGGGATGCTTTATAAAAAGTCGGGACAGTCCCACAAAATCCGGGACGGTTTGTAACCCCACGTATATTTCCCTACTAAAAATGGAATCGAAATTCGTGCTACGCCCCTTTCTGAGCGAAAATATCTGGAGCACAGAATTCAGCAGAAGTGCCGGCGGCGCGACGACGGGCACGTATTAGCCAATTACAAGCAGCAAATCTAGAGCACAAAACCCAGCGGAGGTGCCGGCGGCGCCTCGCCGCCGGCACCTCCGCTGGGTTTTGTGCTCTAGATTTTTCCACTCAGAAAGGGGCATAACACGAACTTCAATCACATTTTTAATAGGGAAATAGACTTTGCGCAAGCATAACTTTTGGATTTCTAAGATGCTTGGAGCCGGTAAGATAAGTTATCACCAAGAACAGACAATCTCAGAAACGTTTTTAGTGCAATTTGAGAATTACCAAAAAAACGGTTCTATCATAATACATGCTCCAATTGTGAAACAGCCTTCCTACACCCTCCAATTATAAAATAGCTTAAGTTATGTTAAAAACAAAATGAGCAGTGTATCACTAATGTTTCCATGGAGGTAGTGTACATAATGGTGTGAGCCCATCTACAGCACATGAATCAAAGTTGGTCCATCCACGGAGAAACTTCTCTCACCTTCGAGAGTTTCTATGTCATCCTCGGACTCTCGGTTGCCGTTCAGCTTTGTCTGCAACAGCGCAGCCTCCGACGGCGTCATGTCAAACAGAGGGCCCAGCAAATCCATAAACTTGGCCACATTGTCCGTATAAGACATGGCTTCCACAATCTGGAAAGTCCCGGGCTGCTTCAGCTTTTCCGAACATGTCCATTGTCCTTTTGAGCACATTGGTATACTGTGCAGTACTAGCAGTACTTGTAAGATCAACAAGCATATGCCTGAGAAATGTTGTGTGGTACTATTGACAGTGTTAAGTACATAAGGGTATTCCTTTAGCTATTCAGGTCAAAAATTATTCCTGCACCATCCCTATGGTGCAGGTCCCTAAAATCTGGCTGTTCTTACAATGGGACAACAAGCTTATTAAGGAAATAAACAGCATTTCAATTTTACAAAAAACATACTTTAGAAAAGAACTATATTTTCAAAGGAACATGAGTGACTAAGTGAAGAGGAAAGAACAGACAGGTAGAGAGAGAAGAAGGCTGCAGAATGTCCTAGTTTCCCTATTAATAACAAACACTTAAACTGGCTAATCTTAACCAGCAAGCCTACATACAGTTAAGCCTGTTGTAATGAATGTGAAACATGTTCAGTACAACAAAATGCACCACTGGTATTTTAGTTACTTTAATATGTTTTGCTCTTTATAGATAGGCCCTAAAAGAAAAAAGAAAGTAGGATATGCTTGTGCAGCAGAACTTCTCCACAGGAATCCACCATATATCAAACAGAGGTTGTGGTCACAGTCACACAACATGGCACCGATATCAATTTAAAGGGTAATGGCATAGTTTTGATCTCACTCATTAAAAAAACATGCTTAGTAATAGGGAAGTTAAACCACTAATTAGAGGTCAGCAAAACAGTTTTATTCTTTGCATTCACTTTGGCAAGCAAAATAAAGCAGTGCTGCGATAAAAGCCCAGGTCATCATGCAGGCACCAAGGCTTCCGCTTAAAAAGCTTTGATCCTAAGCATGCAGTGTTTGCATGCGCAAGTTTTTCTATGCATGCATGTGTATAAAATCACGGAACGAGAAAATTGCATGGTGAAACAATTTTGTGCATAACAACAGCAGCAGCCATCAACCCTCCATCAAATGGAATCATGGATGGCTGCACTTTCCTTCATGCGCCAGCAGGAATTGTCGCAGCTCAAGAAGAGAGGAGGATGCAGGGCGAAAAACACTAGCATGCGTTCCTGGCATTTCTTACATTTGGCCCCGTAATGATTTCTATGGCGCCGTATTCTTCTGCCTGCAGATATGTTGAACTGTCAAACATTTTGTACAAACAAGAAATAGAAATCTCCGGTTCAGAAAGAGAAACTCTGCGACGCAGCTCAAGCTGACGGGTTGCAAGATGTAATGGTCTGCAAAAATGAAGCTATTAAAGCTTTGAGAGTTAGAGCAGTTAGTATGACATGTTAGAACAGTACAGTAAAGCTCCAAGGAGGGTAAGCACAAGAGACTGTTTAGTTAGGCTGACATGTTACTGTATTTTTGTGTTGTTTTTTGCTTTCTCAAGTGCACAACTGTACCTGGTTTTCAGAAGCTGTCGCTTGTAACTGTCTCATAATCTGTGAACAAACAAAGAGCCATCCCAAAAGTCATTCAAACAAATGTGGTTATCAAAAAGTCAAGAAGGTCAAAACCAACACAAACGGCTAACTGGTGAGAATCCAAAGAAAGCGCAGGTAAGGCAGCAAATGCCAGGGGCAAAAACCAGGGTGCAGCAAACGGGACGGTAGGAAAGGTCGTGCACCCCAGAGTCCCCACACCCTCCGTATTACCTTTACAAGCTCCTCAACGTATTTCTGCATGGCCTCCTCCTTCGACATGTCTCCCAGTCGCATCCAGGCATCCCTGCAGGGTAGAAATTGTCTTAGTGAGCATCTGCTAACGTCATAACGAAAGCCATTTATGGTGCAGCTTTCCATTTAGGATGTTTCTGACCTTTAAGGTGAGTAGTGTCGTTTCATTTATATTATTGTACCACGTTTCATACATGCAGGGACCCCGAAACCAGACACATTTCCATATCCACCTCTCTACAAATAACTTGCACCCCTGTCAGAGGCTCTTTCAAGGAATTCTTGGTAGGAAACTCGTGACAAGAAAAGGCGCCACCCCAGCTGCAAGAGGAGGGCAGAAGCCTCTTTGAACCATTTTGGAGGCAAAAGATAAGACACAATGGGCACAAAAGCTATGTTTCGGGAACTCAATATAGATCACCATAGTTCAATGAAGCGAACAGGATCTAGCATCTTCACTTGAAGGAACCTTCATGATCTCTCATGCCGCACCCACGCAGCTCCGTACTGAAAAACTGTCAAACTGGGGATTCAGAAAAGGGTGAATTGGAACATATTAGTGCAGTGTCCTCGGCACAAAGTTGTTGAAATAAAGCTCAAAGGTGCCGGCTCAGTGTGCCTTTCCAGTGAAATAACAGAAGGCCCTCCATAAAAAGCACTCCCTTAGAAGGCCATAGAGCAGCAGCAAACATTTCGCTAACCGATTGGCTTTTTTAGGAACTTGAAGTCTATGAAATTTACGCCTCAGCAGGAGTAAGACCCTGAGGCCAAGCAATTAAAACTGTGTCTGGCACACTCAGCAAGGAAGACACTTACGGGTACCTTCCAGAGCTATGCACTTGTAAATGTATCCGACGGACTTCCCTCACAAAAAGTTTTAACAGGATCTACATCATATGCATAGACGACATCCTTTCCAGTTAGGGTCCTAACACCTAAACCTGCTTCCATACAAGGTTAAAGATTTTATTTGTGACGAAGTGATAGACTAGCAGCGAGGCAGTGGCACTTGCTACTGTCACTATGCTACCACCATGTTAATAGTTTTAATCTATCTGATAGAATGAATCAGGTCTTTTCGATTTGCACTGGTAACTACCAGAAACATTCCCTAATTTTCCTGGAAATAAGTTTTAACTAAAAAAGAAATTATAGAAGCTTGATCATGTTGACAAAGACTGGTAAGCACAGAATGTGTGATAGACCTTCCAGGGAAGAAGAGGAGGGCACCTGAACAGCATCACACACCGAAGATTCGCTTTCATTTCTGACACACGCCGTGAGATGGCGCTACTTGACAAGAAAGGCCGCAAAGCACACAATCTCATTCACGCGACACAAGAATGAGCTTGCCTTTGCATAGTTCATACCACCGACCCTGGATAGCTCAGTCGGCAAAGCACTTGGTTCACAATCTCAGAGTGGTGTGTTCCAATCCTGCCAGGTTCCCTGTTGGTGTAACGCTTTTCGGTATTAAGTTTTCGTTACAGCCGGCTGTTACAGCCAATTGTTACAGGACTCCATGAAAATCAGCTGAGAAAACATATTCTGTGTTAATACAACACCTCCTGGATAAGAAAGCCTAAGTGCTGAATTTTCCTGCATCACTAAAGAAGGCAACCATAGGCCATAGGTTGGACATGACTACAGCGTCAGCGTTTGGCTATGTGTCGTGTCCAATCAGGGGCAACACAACTACAAGCCGAAAGCTGACGCCTTAGTTGTGTCCAATCTCTGGCCTACAGTGGCCTTCTTTAGTGATGCAGAAAAATTCAGCTTTTTTATCTAGGAGGTGTTGGTTAAAGGGACACTGACAGGGTATTTATACTTGTTAAGGTTTTTATTTGTACCCAGAACACAATTTATGGCTCAAAATTTGTTTTCTTTCTGCCCGGAAACTGCCGATCGAGAACTAGCCCCATTTGATTCGCACTCGCTCTTTTCTCCATGGTCATCTGTTGTTTTCTAGGGTTTAGGCACACCCACGAAACATAATCAAACTCATGGGTCATCGAAGGCACACACTCAATACTCAAAATAGACAAAAAATATGATACCCATTTTTTGTGGCTTCTAAAAAGTTGCAAATATGTTGACTGAAAAAAAAAAAAAAAAGTAACACAGCCATGTGATTTCCGGAAACTTTCTCCTTTTCTATATTTCTTCTTCCTCTCCACTACAGTTTCAGCTTTGGCTCCTAGCAGTTGCGTTTCTTTTTTTACTTTATTAAAAATATATGTGACACTGTAGCAAAATATTGATTGGATAGTCTTCTGACACCATAATATATCAAATGGCAAAACATAAACAATTTTTTTTTTTTTTTTTTGGGGGGGGGGGGGGGGGGGGGGGTCAGTGTCTTTTTAATATTGAATTAAAGAGAAAATCAGATGGGTACATTTTTCAGGGTTGTGATGGTTCAAAAAGGGAACCACCTCCCTTGGTTCAGGGAATAAGATGACAAGTCTGACCAATGCCTCGGTAAATGTGCCACTCACTTCTGCACGACACAACTGCGTGTTAAAGCCCCATAGTCCGAACAAGCCTCAGGAACTTCCCTGTTAAATATTTAAAGCAACTGTGTAGGATTTTAGCTTTGAAATAGAGGAAGTATACCGCAAGCACGAGTAAGAGCTAACGAGTCATTGTGCTGAGCGGTTTTCTCTTAAGCAGCTTTTTCTGTTCTTTAAACTTTAATGTCACCCACAAAGTCAACAAACTAACGAAGGAGCGCTTCAAAAACACAACATCCCCTACACTGCACTTATCAAGCCATCTACACTGGATCCTATAGTTGAGATTTCTATTATTGCACTGGACCCTGGAAACACATATCTCAATAAAAGAGAGGCGCATGCACTATAAATGCGGACAAACTTGGCCGAGGTGAGATTGCTTGTCAGTCGAACAAACCCCTGGCCTTCGACCGTGGAATTATGTGTGCCTCAATATCTTCCGACTTTCACATTCAAGGAACAAGCATCCGAGGCTGGCACAGTTTGGGATGCTGCTTCCCTTTAAATTTAGAGACTAAAGCATAGCATAGGGCTCACTAAACAAAAGAAAACATAACAAAAATTATGCTAAGTGATACCAGATTTTCAAAATATAAACATCAAGAATGGCACATCTCTATGATAAGATGCCATTAATTCATACATTATGACACAGTACTGTATGAGCCCAAAACTCCCATAAAATGCTCACATATATAGACTTAAAACAAGCCATAGGATCAGGCATGTGTCCTAGAAAAACCAAAGGGTCTGCGGAGAAATACTTTACAATCTACTGCTCCCAATCGTTAGTCCAAAGCATGCAACAATCACACTTTCACACACTGAGAACAAGTAGATAATATCTAATTACGTACACCTTGTAGGCGGGCCTATATTTAGTTGTTGTTTCGGTCAGCATTGAAGCGCATCACACGAAGCAAAAAGGCACAACGGAGGAAAGGAGTCACGTGGAAAATGCACAGGCTGTCTCTCGGCCCTGGCAACAGCTGCTCGGAAAGAGCAACACCTGCTTCAAACGAATCTTGGTGTTTTCACCTGACGCTTATAACTGCTTCCATAGTGCCACGAAAATGTATAGTCTCTATCCCCAAATCACCAATACTAGCTATGTTTGAAAGAGCTGGGAAGTACTACTTAAAGCAGTACTTAAAGTATGTTCTGAAAACTTGCATTTTACTCCAATCCCATTTCGAGAGCATGTACCTGGTTGTATTTTACAGCAGCTTGCCTTCTAAGTAGTTTCCTGAAACTCGAACTGGTTAGAACTATCAAAGCAACTCCTTGGCTGGTCATCACAAGCTTTCCACTCCTAACTGAGGGCCAATATGTTGCCTTCTTTTGTGCTGAGTAATGCAGCAAGTTTTTATTGCACCAGTGCATCACTTAGCTATCTGGACACAGTGAATACCACTCACTATGTGTTGCCTTTTAACACAAGAAAGATCTTCATGTACATGTAAATCCTGCCTGCTAACACTTACAAACATTACCAGGAAAACTACCTGTTAAGCAAAACATAGGTCTGCTCCTTTGCCTATTTTCAGTCACAAGGAAGGTGGAAGAAAGCTGAGGCAGCTCATTTGTGCCACTGGAGAGAGAGAGAGGGCTAGTCCAACTTATCTCGTCCACACAGAAATGGCAATACCATGGTGCAAGGATGAGAGTTTAACCTGCCTTGCCAGACTTTCATTGTTTCGGAAAGAACAGAGTGGACATACCATTTTGCATTACCAATGATGTCCCAAAACCTGGGCTTTGGAACCTTGCACTCTGCAACAGAGCCCTGAGTTGCCTGCTTGTAGTATGCATAGAACTTGAGCTGGAGGTCATGGGAGGGCTGGAAGGAACCTGCAAATGACACAGCATAATGCAATTACAAAGAGGTGCCCAGAAAAACAAACGCTGCTCTAATATCGAGCAAAAGTACCCTGACATCTTCCACCTAACAGCAAGCCCTAAATGCATAGCTCTTATTTGTAATTTGCTTGAAAATTCTAACCCTTTTGTTCAAATTCAAATTTAGATTATGTCTGCCTACACAGGTATACAGACAAGAGTGGCATGGGCAAAAAGCCAACATACAGCCGCTAGATCATGTTGCCAAGAAATTTTTCCAATACAAAGTCGCATATTTGCCAAGAAAACTCTATGAAGTTAAACCGAAACCAGAGGACCAGCATAGAGAACTCTGATATTGAACACTCCGAAGGTTTCAGGGGACTCACTTTGGGTTGTCCCGCTCCCTGTGACTATCTTTAAATCGACACACTTTCAGCGTTTCAGTGGCTATAAAAATTATGTTTTACTGCTTCTATTATCTTTATTGAAGATGATGTTTTACAGAAGACTTATTACTCCTCAGATGTTTGCCTTCTGTACTGCCATCACAAGTGACTAAGAAAGAGTGAAGGAAGTCCTGAATGGTCTGCTCTTGACCGGCTCTTAGCCCTACGTTGCTCTAGTACAGGGATCTCAAACACGTGGCCTGTGGGCCACATGCAGCCCGCGACTCGCTGGGATGCGGCCCGCAGGCATCGGGCTGCGGGCACCCGTTCCCATGCCTCGAGCGCTATAAATGACATGCGCTATAAATATCTTATGTAACCGAATCATTTTCCCTTGACGCGTAGCTCTGCTCTTATAACATATATCACATAGTTTGTAATACTTCGTTTTCATTCGCCTTGTGTTTCGTTTTAATCTTTGCTTCCGAGCTTTCTTCACTCAAGGACAGACCTCGGCTGCACGAACTCTTGCTCAGCGGAAGAAAATAGATAAACCTACTAGTTTGAGATTCTCGTCTTCATTTATTATCACCATTAAAATATGAGTTCTTTTTCCTCCAAACTGCTGCTACACAAACCGTTAGTAAGGCAAAATCTGTCTTACGAAAATATATTTTTTTTTTTTTCGGGACGTGTTGAGCTGGGATAATTCCCGAGTGATTTGAGCAACGGGAACAATAGCGTGCTTGCTTTCTTGTTCTGTTAAAAATGACAGCACGTTGGCAGGGTACTGCCGTTTCAATTCGTGTTATTATATCAGGTAAGGGCTCAAATAGACCATTTGCTATAGACGCTTTCAGCGAGTCAGTTACTCGAGCTGCCACCAGTAGGCGCTCCCTTCGCGCGCTTTCCGGGCCGCCATAGCTGACCTTCAGTTTCTCACCGTTGCTTCGCGTTGTGTGCTGCACAGGCCACTACCGGAGTTTCGTTTTCGTGTTTTTTTTACGTTCCGCGTTGAAATCTTGTATTTTATTTAGGTCTTTTCTATACAAAGGACTTCCATTTAATCATTTGATATTTATATTTGACATAGCTCTTGTATTTTCTTATTTATGGAATGGAATCGGACAGCGAATGGGTCGACAATACAAGATTATGAGGCTTCAATGACCATGTAAGTTCATCTCATTCTTACGTTTTGGTAAATTGCAACTGACGCAGTAAGGCTACCACAGTCGTGGTTTTTGCTGCATGTGCGCGCTCGTCGTTTCCGTAAAGCCGACCCGCATGTAAGCGATTTAGCGTGCGACGAGACGAGCAGCGGAGATTTCTCACTGTCGCCCGTCGCATTGCTCGGTTTTGGGATTTCTAGAAGACGTCGCTCACCGTCTCGGTCGCTTGCTCCGTCGCTTCCAAGCGGTTTGCCTCGTCGCGCGACTGACTGAGCGACAGCGAAGCGGGTAGCCGTCGCTTATCTGGTCGCTCGCCAAATCGCTTACATGCGATTTATACTCAATTAATTTCCATGCGCACAGCACTGAACCATTGGCGCCTCAATACTAAGTATAAACCGCATGCAAGCGATTCGGCGAGCAACAAGACACGCGACGGTGACCGCTTCGCTGTCGCTCGGGCAGTCGCGCGACGAGGCAAACCGCATGGAAGCGACGGGAGCAAGCGACCAAGACGATGAGCGACGTTTTCTAGAAACCCAAAAAACCGAGCGATGCAACACCTACAACAATGCAACAACAATGAGAAATCTTCGTCGCTTACTCTCGTCGTTGTCGCCGTCGCTCGTCTCGTCGCACGCTAAATCGCTTACAAGCGGGTCAGCTTTACAGAAAGGAGCGTGCGCATGCAGCGAGAAGCACGACTGCGATAGCCTCACTGCGTCAGTTGAAATTTGCATATGTCGCAATGGTGTTGACTGCCCTTTATTAGCGACAAAAACGTTAGAATAGGATGAACTTACATCGTCTCTAAAGCCATAATCTTGTATCGTCGATCCATTCGCTGTCCGATTCCATTTCATAAATAAGAAAATACAAGAACTGGCGTTGAAATGTAGATATCAAATGATTAAATGAAAGCCCGAAATATCGAAAATACCTAAAGAAAACACGATTTCAACGCGGCACGTAAAATAACCCGAAAACAAAGCTCCGGTAGTGGCCGGTGCAGCCCACAACGCGGAGGTACAACTAGAAACTGAAGGGCGGCTATGGCGGCAGGGTCACGTGACACCAAGATGGCGGCGCCCATGAAATGTTGCCTGAAAGGGTCTATATTCCCAAGTGCCCCGGCCCGCACTCGAGGAATCATGGGAACGGTGTTCGTTCAGCTCCCTATTGATCGCTAATTTTCTATCAACTCCGTTGTTACACAGTTCTTGAGCGTAATTCGGAGTCACTCTGAATAAGTGCCTGATATACCCCAAGGACCTGTCATATCACTTTTAAAATTGCTCGTCAATGTCAGCATTTTTGATACTGTGCATGCGATCCACCTTTCAACCTGGCTGAACTGCAGAAATCTCTTACAATATTATCATTCTGGTGATTGTGGTTTGAGCAGGAATTGCTTAAAAAGCCGATAATTCACAACAACAAAAACCAGGATTTAGCTCAAAGTCTGCGGGGCTGTTTATAGCATTTTTAGCGTTTGTACCTTAATTTCAGCATGATAATAATGTAAGAGATTTCTGCAGCCCATCCAGGTTGAAGGGTGGACAGCCTGCGTAGTAACAAAAGCACTGACACTGAGGAGAAATTTTAAAAGCGAGATGACAGGTCCTTGGAATATATCAGGCGCTTGTCCAGAGTGACTCCGAATTATGCTCAAAAGATATGTAATCGAGGATAGTGTCGAAATTACTGATCACTAAGGAGCTGAAGAAACACCGTTTCCATGATTCTTTTAGCGTGGGCCGGGGCACTTGGGGGATATAGCAAATGCTCTATTAGTTCAATAAACAAATCAAAGCTAAAAATGTCTGCCAAAGTGCGAGTTTACAAAAAGCAGAGAGCACGAGGTCCCTTTAAAAAAATCTCTTACCCCCCCCCCCCCCCTCCCCCTTGAAAGGTCAAGGGCCTTACGGTCACCCTAGACCTTTCTGGAGTGGGCTATCTGGCCCCCACACTTGAATGAGTTTGAGACCACTGCTCTAGTATTTGCCACATTAATCATTACCAGTATGTGTGCACATTGGGAAACACTTGCTGTCTTAAAACACTCAAAGACAATCACGGATGTATTTACTTTACTGGTGGCAGATAATGGCACTTTGCACAAATATGAAGGTTCTGAGACAATGAGTTTTCATCACTAACTTCATGCCAGCAACTGGTGCTGGGGAAGCGGCAATAATCTGGAGACTCTGCATTCATAAAAAATATATTCACCATGTTTTATGTCCTTCTACACCAATTAGGCAAAACTTCAAAATACAGACTTTCTCCTTCCCCCACACCCTACGGGAGTAAGTAAATGCCCCCCAAAGAAACGGAGATCAGTGTTTTCTCTAACATATAAGAGATAACTGGCACCATAAGCCTGCGCTTTTTCCAGCTCCCTAAGCAAAAAGTATACTTCCTTTTAATTTCTCTCATGAAGCCTCAGCAGAAAAAAAAATACATTACCATATATCAGCAACAAACAGGTTAGACCGGTGCTCGTAAGCCAGAGAGACATGCTCCACCTAACTCCTTCAACCTGACTTCCCTGCTTTAGAGCTAATCTCAAAATATGCCTAACTTTTCTTTATGTGAAACACAGGAAGACATTCAAGTGCGAGTTCATGGTCCTAGAAACTGCTTCCAGCTAGATAAGCACACACGCGTAAAACACACTCTTGAAATAGAACTCAGGACTTCCATGATGCTACACAGAGAATTGATACGTGTGAGCACATTAAAAACAATGCTGTCTTTTTATTTAACTGGACTCTCTACAAGGATAGGACTTTGGCCTTTTAGAAATTATATGTTTACAGTGTCAGCTGTTATTGGCCCATTCCCCGGTTTTTCAACGGCGTGGTGTAAACAAAAGGTTTTCCCGTTAAATATAGCGGAAAAATTGATGTCGCGTGACGTATACACTAATTCAGTTTCCCCGCTAGATTTGGCGGGAAAACACATCACGACCTTATACCTTATAATCATTTATTTATCAACGTATCAATGCTAAGTCAATGCAATGTCATTTAAATATCAGGTCACCGTATCATGCACAAACAGTGCAATGTCAATCAATCGTCATCGTCATATCATAGAATAAGCAGCACAGCTGATGCTGTCTAAATAGATCACATTGTGTATCCTCATGCTATTTTTGTCATTTTTTTGTGGTAACTTATGAGAGAAAATGCTATTAAATAGAAACCGAAACTTGCATTTGATCATGAAGTTAGTCTTCTGAAATGGAAGGTTAATTTGACAAGCCTATAGATATATGCCCTGAGCTGAGCCGCCATGACATCAAACTTCAAACAACAATACCACTTTTTTATTGTCAAGCTTGCAGTCCCACACTGGTATCATGACAGTACCCTTCGCATCAATCTATCAATATGGCCAGTAGCATCTAGTTACTTGGTGAATGTGACATGAAGGGAGCAGCTTTAAAATTCAATAACTTTGCCAATAATATTTACACAGCTGTAGCCATATATGAGTAGTGGTTGAGCAATATTAAATGATGTGATAAGACATGGCCAGCATTTCACAATGACCAGAAATGGTTAGTGAAGAAAGAAGCCTTGTACGGTGAAATTTCTCAGTAAGGGATTCAAAAGCTTGGTCGAACATTGTAGAATCTAGTCAAGTATCCTCTTCCTAAATCCATGTGTTTTCTAAGCATACTGTTGCCGACAAAAAGCGAGCTAATCATTTTGTTGTGCACCTAACCAGGGCAGAGTGTCTGCACTGCAGATTAGGTATATAGAAAGGTAGGAGTAATGACCAGCCAACAGTCAGGGCTATTTAGAGAAAGAGAACACAGACAGAGCAGATTGTCAGGAATACTCCACATATTATAGGAGGAAAGACCCCCCCCTGTCAGGGGACTACACATCTCCCTTCTGTCCTTTTATAAAGACAGCCTTAGAAAGCAAGAACAAAGGGGAGCCCATGTCATCTCTTTCTTTCTTTTACAACTGAGAAAGAATAAGTTGAAAGAAGGCAGCCAATGTCACCTTATTTATTTGTTCTCAGTTATTAACGAATGATGACATGGGGCCCCAGTTATTGCATTCCATAGGAGTAACTGTGAGTGTGTGCTCCATATTCTCTCCGTAGATTCATGTTACACTATAGAGAGTGGTCCACTTTTAAAGTTAACACCGGAACGCGTGGCCGGCACAGCACCGGCTGCTGGTGCCCGTGGAAGCTTGGCGCAGATGCCGCGAGCACCAGAGGAGGTGCATGCAGCGTGTAGTCTGCTACTGCACTGCTCTTTTGCTCACTGCCCCTGCGCCGTAGGGCGCAGGAGCAGATGACGTGCGGCACACACCACCTCTGGTGCTCACTACGTCTGCACCGAGCTTCCACGGGCGCCAGCAGCTGGTGCAGCATGGAGCGCCGGTCATGTGTTCTGGTGTTCTCTTTAAAAGTGGACCGCTCTGTACTTTTATTGAGAAAAGGCGACGAGTGAAATTTAGTTCAACCGGGATGTTTAAATTTGGACGTCTACACAGAAACAGCCAGTGTTTCAATAAGAATGTTGGGTTTCAATGAACAAGAAGCTGGAACACTCACACTGAACTCATCTAACCTACATGACCACTAAGTTGCTGAGAGGTTAAGAACTCAGGAGAAACTCCTCCCACCTCGTTCCACTTTAGCGGAGAGAATGCTGGAGAGGCAACCTCCTCTCTGGTACTCGCTCTGCTAAAGTCGAAAGAGGTGGAAGGAGCTACCCCTAAACTCTTAACTTGCCACTGACTATGGTAAGCTAGTGCAGCCACAAACCTCAGGTAAAGAGTTGACACACCATATTCTAGGTTAAACCTTGTTTTCAGATTGTTAGTGAGCCGATGCCGCTATCCACATTTGAGCATTGGTGATATTGTCTTATGAATGGGAAGAACGTTTGAACGAACAGCGATCAGCGCTGTAGGAATTGTTAGCCATCCCATGACGACAGCAGCTTGAGCAAGCATGCTCCCGACTTGTCAAGTTGGCTTTTTTTTTTCCTCGACGATGAGGAAATATTTAATACCTCGGCACCTTCAAACAAAGCATCTGTATAATATGAGCGTTTACGCAATGGGGTAAAAACCTGATAGCAACTTTCCTCATATCATTGTCCACTGGACTATGTGCGAAAGCTTCCGACCGTAAAATTCGAGATGAAAGCGACCATATCAAAACGATCGCTGGTCCTATTGCCAAGGGCCAGTCAACGACGCATTAAATTTGCTTACGGCACTTTCCATTCGTGTGACAGATAAGCAAAGACAAAAACATTGACGTACTGAGCAGTGCTACGAGAGTTCACCGATGTACACCAAGAACTACGTTCTTCGAAAACGTAACATGAATGGCCCCTGCAACTCCCAATGCGGTACAGTACTCAGACGAGAAGGTAATGCAGCCCGCTTTCGCGTGTGCTGGTTTCTTTTCCTCGTCTTTAAGCCTGTTCCGTCGCTGGACAAGCAACATTCTAAACAGGTCGTCGGGCACTTCCTTACCGTTCTTGGGAAGTCCTCTGATCACTTCGACAGCTGCATGAAACCTGTCCTCGGTAGACATGGCTGCGGTCTCCGTTTAGTGGAATAAGCAGTGCCCGGAGCAATCGCGCATTGAGTATGTTTACAAAATGTTCCTCGGCACTCTCGACTGCCTTGAACTCTCCACGGTCTCACTCACGGACAATCTCCAAACAGACTCCAACCCTTCTCTCCACGACTTCGCCAGACTTCGCCACTTCTTTCCTATTTGTTTCCGCGACCGCCTAGGCGCCACTTGTAGGAACTAAAATATTGCTAAAATCTAACTACATTTTACTCAAATATCTGTAAATCAATCTTTACGCCACAAATTAAAATTTAAAGAATTACAACGTTGCGTGCAGTGGTTCCATGAATTTCTTTCTTTAGCATTGGCCGTCAACTGGTCGTGCCCTCTACCGGTGTCACGTGACTCATTTTTCACGGCCGGACGAGAACAGATATGGTGGCTCAGTGAATGCATGGTGCGCTCCGTACACGTTGCGTGGTGTGGCCTTTCGATCTCCGCTTATTTATTTTAATTTCTTTCTTGGTTTTCTCTTAGACCCCCTTTGGAACGCGTCTTCCCGCTGACTCGACACCACGATGGCAGACTCGAGTTTAGACCAATTCTTCGCGAAGAAGGACAAGAGCAAGAAAAAGACCAAAGGAATGGCGACGACGGACCCAATGGGCAAGAAAACGGAAGAGGCCGGCAAGAACTCCGACAAGAGCGCCAAGAAGGACAGGGAGAAGCAAGAGAACTCTACGGGAAAGGTACCTTCGGTGATTGCCTCGTTGGAGCAGGTATGACCCGACCTGCGCACATCTCCATACGGTGCCGGTTTGCGGTGACCTCGCTGCCTTGCTCGAAATGCGTGACATAACCCGACCGTTTGTGGTTAACCTTACCCGAAATGACATCGTTGAACCCCATTTCCGCCTTATGTTTCGCAGTCAAGTGTTGCTTGGGTCCGAATTTCGCCACTTGGCCTCTCGAAAGTAGCCTCCATGGGTCCCCTCGAAAACTCACTGTCATCCGGTATTCTTAGCTTTCGAACAACGTCACGGATTCTCAAAACGACCCCAGACCTTCAGTGGTGCAATGTTGCATTTCGACGCTGTTTCTTTTTTATTCTTTTTTTCTCTCCTTTTTTTGGACGTAGGGGTATGAAGTAGCCCTTAATCGTAAGTTCATTTCAGTCAAGCCTCCCCCTGCGTGAAGGCAGGTCTTAGTAGCAGCCAAGCTAGTCTTTTTTTTTTTTTTTTTTGTAGGATTTGTACATTTGAGAGTATGGCTACAGCAAAACTTTGTTACAGCCTAACTCCGTCCGATGCGAGAGGTCACCCTTCCTTTGCCTGTGGATGTGTTTGGTACGTCGGAGGCATACTACTCCGGGGCATGTCACAGTATGTTCAGTGTCCAGGCATTTCACATAGTGTGGCAAGCCAAGGAGTAGCCATGTTAAGTCGGGGCTTGCAGCCCGAACTGTAAGTATGCATGTTTGTTCCCTCAAATGGGAATAGGTGGGGCAGGATTTGGACCTGCATACTTCGTCACATCCAGCCATTCATTATTAAGAGACGCTTTTATCATACCACTAAAAGCCAGTCTGCGTGCATGCAGATATGTGCCACACTTCACGTTTACTAAGTAGGCTAATGACCTGTCCTGTTGCCAATACAGCTACTGTAAAATGCATTTTTTATGACTTACATTGCTTTAAATAACAATTTATAACCTATCAGTTCGTCCAAAACGGGCATCAGCTTGATGTGCCTGAATTTCCATTCAGATTGAATGCACCTCAGGTGGCTGATCTCTTCAACCGAGTCTATTCAGTGCCGTTCCATATTTTCCAGCCTATTGATCTATCAAAATGGCCTTTGTGCACGTACAATCCACTGTGTAAACTGTAGTTTGTCTGGTAGTTACAACATCAGTGACGTCCCTACGCATTAACTTCTTTTCATATCCTTCAGTGAAGCTGCCCTCTTGCTGTTTCTACATTAAATTTGTTTCCAAACCAGGGATTTATGGTATCTAAACTTTAAATGATCTGTTTATCCGTATCTATGGAGAGCAGAAAATAGTTTGAGAAAATGTTGCATTCAGTGATGTTGTGTCTGTTTTTAATATGATTTTTGTCCTTTTCCTGTAGAAGGAGGAAGTACAGAAAGTTACCAGAATTTTGGTATTATTTAAAACCAAAGTTTTTTAGACCACTATCCCAAACGTTTTTTGGGATTTGTAAATCAGCTATATCTAGCATGGCTTCACAATGGCATGTTACTGGTCCCTTTATTGGAATAACATTGGCATGGCACCAGTGGTGTTCCAATTATTGAAATGTACATGCCACACAGTTATTGACGAGAACATGCTGCCTACTGCCGCCACCACTGCAGTGAGACTGGTATGTCGTGATGTCTCTTCACTTTTTGCCAAGGCTTCATGACAGCAGAGTTCTCTGGTTAGATAGTTAAGGGGCCAGTGCTTGTTCATGAAATTAGATATATTTGCGTACAAACCCACAGTCCTGTTGTCAGTTGGTTATGGCCCCTTTCCATGACACTTCCAACTTCTTCTCGAATCACAGGCCGATGAGGAGTGGAATGATTTCGAAGAAGAGAAGGAGGTGGACTACAGTGGCCTCCGCATCCAAGCACTGACCATAACGTATGTATTTTTTCGTCTCGAGTCTGTGTGTCTTTTTGTTGAAGAAACAGATTAACCAACTGAGGCTTGAGGTAAAGATTGCTTGTAGATTTGTTATTTTTAGACATTTGATAGATGTCTGACTTGAAACTTTTTGGTCGTCCTACAGCATTATGTGACTGTTTCAGCAAGAAATATGAAGATGTCAGAAATAAGATCATTTAGTGTGCAGTGAAGGCTGTTAGCATGGAAAGTTAATATGGGAATGGTACAGGGTTTAAAGGGGTACTTCAACAAAATTTGGAATATACCCTTCGTGTTCAGAAATAGGTTGAATATGATCCACGGTGTCCATAAATGATTATCGCACAAATGTATTTTGAATATGATGGCTGTATTTTTCGTTATAAACGGCCCACTCTGGCAAGCGCTCAGAGATCAGCCCGGGGAGAGGACATGACACCCGCCGCAGTCGTGACATAGTTCATCTCGGGACGAGGGAAGCTGCGGCGAGGCTGACGTCAAGAGGATGTCCTAGTCATTCAAGCAACCGAAGCGGCTGCTTTTGTACTAATTTTGAACGACGGGTTAATCTTTTATAATCTTGTAGAGGGACAATAGCGACTTCTGAGACACACAAATGATATCCTTGGGGAGAGGGGAGTTCCTCCTTCCCCTCTTCTCTCGTGGTGGCCGGAGGCGAGACAGTTATCATCACTACCTGTCCGAGGTTCCTAGACTGGCATTACAAACGAGGCAGCGACAACCACCAGGTGCTCTTTGTTAATCGTTTAATTTGTTTTAAAATTCCTTTTCGTATCTTTTTCAACAAGAGATTGGTGTGTCTGATGCGAGAGTGCTCCCTTGAACATGAATAGACCCTTTCCGAAATTCAGTCTGGCCACTTTGATTGCTATCATCATCTGTGGAAAGGCATCTGTGCCATACCAATGGCGGCCCTTTAGCGACTCATAAAGGAAGACGTTAAAGATGCTTCTAAGTGGATGATGCGAGGCCTGTACATTCGGGGGGTCAGTGCGACGCGACGTAGGAATGGAACAAAGAGCTACGTAAGTGCTTATTTCTAATAACTCAGATTCAGTCAATCTGCGGGCGGCACACAATTGGCTTTTAAGCATTTTGGTTAATAGAATTTTCCCAAGGCATCTAAGTAGGTTGGAGCTTTGTTCTGAATGCAGGTCCTTGGTCACCATTGAACTGAAAGTGATCGAGAAAGAACTCACAGTGAAGAATTCCTCGCGTGCAGTTTACTTGCAAAAGTGGCGGTGCCAATACAAGTTCATTTTCGCCATTGATATGGCAAAAGCTAAACTGCTTTACGACCCACCAGATGGCACTGAATTTCGAAAAGGGTCTATAGAACAAGAAATAAGCGCCGAAATTTCGTTGTAGTTTCTCTTTAAAAGACGAACTCATCCGCACATAGCATGGGCTAAGCGATTCACTCTGGCTGCCGTTGTTACACTTGGTGACAGTGGTTGCAATATTCATTGCTCAGAAATAAGCTTACCTGTGGCTTTACTGTTGAGCTGTGCTCAGGGCAGTTCAATGCAGCTGCTGACCTAGAGTTTCTATCTTGCATCTGGCACTAGTGATTACTCAAATATATGTCAATGAAATGCCCATCCACATGCCAAGCAGGTATGAAAGTGCGCAACCATCAAGCCATTGAGAGTTTGTTAACTCGTTAGTTGATGATGACGGAAGCTTGCCAGCACTTCTTAATTTGTGTCCTAAAAATAATGACTTTAAATTGAATCCTATGCTTTCATTTTCTTGTGTGTCATTTTTTCTTAACTCTGTCCTGACTACAAGAAAAGTGGCAATTTTCAAACAATCCGTACAAACGCTTTCATTTTCCTAACTAGTTTGTGTACTGAGCAATATGACACATCAGAATGTGACCAATTAGTTTTTTTAAAAGAAACTGAGGTTAATGCAGTCATGTCTCGTTTACATGGACCCCGTTAATATGGGTACCCCGCTATATGGACACCATTTTCGGGGACAAACTGGAAAAAAATGTGTGAATTTTTGTCTTGTAATTTTGGACAACTTGCATTATGGACCATTTAAAGGAGGTGTCCATATAGACAAGACATCGCTGTAAAATGCAGTGATGTGATTGCTGCGCCAATTGTACCAAACTGCGCCAAGGGGCTAATACTGCTACATCATGCTACATTTTGCCAAAATATGGGTAACCTGCGCCAAGCCTGCGCCAAAAGACCAATTTCGGTAGCCTTTCTAAACCGAAAATAAGCTGAGTACCGTAATTGAGCGCGCGGTAAGCTAGGTGGCGCAAGCGGCCGCCTGACACCAGAGCCATATATTAGGAGAGTCTGGACAATGGGCGGAGCAAAGGCCGCCGCCAGCGCCGAAAACTCTCCCTGCGGTTAGAGTGTAAACTATAGGTACGACGCAGCGTCGACCAATCAAGAGACCGCGACGTTACAATATTGCAAACGACATTTAAAGTGTGAAATAGAAGCGTTCAATCTCGACTTCTGTGGTCCATCTCACAAATATGTCTGCAGTAAAGACAAAGACACAGGCGCGTGAGCCTAGCTCAGCGAAATGCTTTTGTTTGGACGAGAACTCGCGCATAGGAGGCACTTTCCAAAGCCACGCGCTCGTGCCCATGCCTTTGTCTGCACTGCTGATGTTTGTGAAAATGACGTTTCCCCTGGGCCAGTTTGGTAGAACAGCGTCTTCGCTGAGACTGGCTGAAAGAAAATAGTGCAAAGGGTGGGGCGCGCGAGCGTCTTGAGACGCGGAGTCCCGCTCGGCTCGTGCGCTGGCTTTGGCAGTGCTTTCTTTCCCCATCTCAGCTGAGACGCTGTTTGTAGCAAATCGGCCCTGGTTCGGAGTGCACGTTCGTTTATTCTACACTTGAATATTGGCTTGACGAAAACCTCACATGCGCAAAGTTTTCAGTCACCGAGAGCTAAACCTTTTCACTCTAGCGCGCGACGCTAAAACGGCTTAAATTAGTCGTGTCCTATATTTAGAGCTCACGACCACGGCTAGGGGCTGTTTTGCGGCCTGTGGTTGGCCCCGAGATGCTCGCCTATTCAAACCAGTGTATGGCCTAACTCTCAATAAACGGCTCTGCCTGACACAAGGTACCCTGCATCAATCGTTCATCCTGTCTTGCATGGTTTTCCCATCATGTCTCGTTCCGCGTCCTCATCGTCTCGCGTTTTTAAATTTTTTTATTATTTTTTTTTTAACGATAGACGCGGACGTGTGCGGCGCTCTGACGCTAGCATGCTGGGGTACCAGCCATGTCGTCATGCTATGAAACGAAACCACGTTTTTGCGCGGCGGGAGTTCCTTTGTGAACCGAAGCACTCGCTCCTGAAAGCAACGGCCATGGGAAAACTATATTTGGTCCCTGCCTGCCAGTCACCGTGGTCGCGCGACGTCCGGTGTTGCCGTCCCCACGTCGCTGTAGATATGGCGCTTTCTAAAATGAAACTAAATACCGCCGCATGTTCATCAACATTCCTGTTCTTTTTTAATACGCTACTACAAAAATCCCTCTTTAGCTCAAAGACTTCTGTGTTGAAGTATTGATTATGTAGGTTTTTCTCGGTGGGCTTTCTTTCGGGAGGGACCCCGGTGCGTGAAAAATCTGCCGCGAAAGAAAGTTGGTGAAGGGAAGTGAGCCAAGGAAAAGAAGGCAATGCCTGCATGCTGAACCCTCACAGCGCGCTTGTTTGTCTAGAATTCAGTCGTTGCACAAAGCGCTCCAAGAACTTTTTGACCCTAGCTCGTGATGTCTTGCATCGATGTGCTCAGATTCTTTTTTTTCTTTTTTTTTTTCTGTGTGTTTAGCTTGTACCTCGCCTGCCGGCCTGGCAAGCACGTGCCGCTGGACTGTTTATTGTTATTGTTTTTTGTCGTATGCTGGGCAGTTACATTTTGCATACAATTTTGCGAACCAGTTGGCGTCGGAGCGGCGTGGCATGGTTTTGATCGAACAGCCATCTCCGCTCATGCGACGATTTCGCATTGAACGGCAGTAGTTACGTGTTTTATCAGTTGGAGACTGCTTTCATTTATTTTATCACTAGTCAACCTAATTCTGTGCTGTATACTGAGCTGGTCATTTTCAAATAAATTTTAATATGTGCACTTTGGTTTTTATTTGCCTATAGCGGGCACATGTATACATGTAATTTAACTGAAGCGTTGCAAAATGTGTCATGTCATTGGCATTTCAGTTACGTGTTGAAAGACTCTCAGGTGGTCTAACTTGACTATAATTCGTTTATTGCGGCAAGCAAAGTGTCCTTGGTTTGTCCAGCACTTGAAACAATTATTTTTTATTTTTCTAAGAATATCTGCTCTAAAAGCCACTTTTGCTGCTCCAAAACACTGTTTTGGCTGCTCCGAAAGGTGCTCTAAAACGACTTGGGCCAATCACATCACTGATAATGTAAAAAAAAAAGATTTTAAAATTAAATTTTTTTTAAAATACAATGTATGCGTGGAAGGTATATAAACACTGACAGTTTTACAGTTGCCGTAAAATACCGGGAAAGCGCCCACTAAAAATTTGGAGATAATCATGAAAAAATGGGGGATGGGCGCTTATCCGGTCATTAATTCTACGTATAAATGTACTGTGCATATTTTATCAGATCTTACAAATTTGGGTATGGGCGCTTAAAGGGAAACTCCGCTTAATTTCAAAAATTTTGAGATAGCGGCCGATTTTGCTTTTTGAAGCACTCAAAAACAATCCCCAATACTTTGTTTCGCGAAAAATAAAATATTTTTCGTGTAATTTTACTCTAGCCATGATCACAAACCGAAACCGAAACAGTGGCAAAGCCGGACAACATTGTATATTCGGCATCACTAAGCATGTACACCCACGTGATATACAAGGGGAAGAAGGAGCTCCCCTCTTATCAGGATCCTCCTTTGTGCCTCCTGGATTAGCACAGGCGTCGCTATTCTCCTCCCAGAAGATTATAGATTAACCTGTCATTCAAAATTCTTACAAAAGCACCTTCCCTCTCCTCCTTTTACTTGGTGTTCAAAAGTATGCGATGTAACACAAGCCGCGCTCAACGAGGCGATCGGCTTGTCAGTAGTATCAATAGTCGAGCGCCGGGCCGGCCGAGCGCGTCACTCACGTCTTTCACAGCGCTGGCGCCACCCGTGCTCTCCCCGGGAAAGAAAACAGAATTGAAAAAAAAAAAAGAAGCTGTACATGCTTGATGACGTCGCGGACGTGCCGGGAGAAGGAATTTGGAGGAAGCGGAAATGCAGCCGGGCAGTGTTGTCTGGCCCGCACGTCTCATCCAAAACCAGCGGATTCGTGCTTGTCAAATTTTGACAGCGATTTTAATGAACTTCTAGGCGGAATTCCGTCGTAATATTTGCCATGGAGGTTTTGTAGATGATAACAAAGAGAACTGTATAGTTTTGCACTACTGGAAAACAAGCGGAGTTGCCCTTTAATGTAGTATGGGCGGATGCGCGGTATTCTACGGTGTTTATATTAAACAACAAATTAAAGAAATTCATAATATACAAAATGTGCCCCACGCCCACGGCTATACACAGACTCATGTTTACAAACAAATATCTTTTGAGGTCTGCACTTCTTGTTGCAATTACCCGGTCAACGTTTGGTCTATGGGCTGCTGTCGTTTGAACGAGCAGACGACAAGCAGAAACGTTTGAGAGAGCAGACGACAGCTCAAACGATGGGTCGGCCATTTGAATGTGATGACTCACTGAACGTAGTCCGCAGGTGGTCCGTGCTACTTGACGGTTTTCCCGCGTTCATGTTGGAAGAAAACAAATAAATCTGCCGACCACAAGTATCCGTGAATTCAATTCAGAGTGCTTCCCGCCCAAGCAATCATGGTCCGGTGGCATCTGTTTTTCCTTTTTCACGGCCCCTGTTCACGTTCTCGGATGAACCGAGCAGGGCAGAAAACTCAGAACCTGAGCTTCAAACTTTTCCTGACTCTTTTGGTAAAGCCCCAGTCGTGGCGTTTTGACTAGAAGGCAGGTTTTTGTCCGGTTTCTTGCAAAGTAACACAGGAATGCATGTGCCCCATGGCGGCTTCCGCCCACAGCCCCAGACCAGAAGTGCGCCCGACGCACCACCACCGTGCCGTGACGTAACAGAGATGAGTTTGTGTATTACTTCTGAAAGTCAGTGTGCTCAACTGACATTGTCTATTTTTGGTTTGTCAGAGTTAGCCATTGGAACAATGAAGGAATGCTTATATTGGTGAAACACAGACACTGCACCTCATAACCCCAGCAGAATGCTTTCTTTGTGTTCTACCCCGGTTTTGTCATAGCCTTGATTGCAGTTCCCTCATATTTAGCATTTTTGTCTGTCTTGTTGAGAACATAAATTGTGCACGACGGCTCAGAGCAGCGTTGTAAATTATAGTGATGCTTACCGAAAACCATCTGTAAGCAGCGCCTTTAACATCTTTTGAAGTGTCCACAGAGCTCTTGAGATCTAAAAAATATTCCGCAATACAGTTGAGTTATGTAAATAATGCCATCTTTGTTACAAGGACTCATGCAATCAGTTTCCCATGTTAGACAAGTGCAACCTCCGTTCCCAGGGTTATTTTTGACAGCCCACCAGCTTGTGATAAAGCTCAAACCTACATTGAAATAGAAGCTACAATTCTTTGGATATCCATGAGGGTGTGGAACATAATTCTCCGCAGTAAATTTAATTTCTTGATGGCGCATGGAACCCATCGGTCATTGGTGATGGATGGCCTATGGGTGCGGTCAGGGAAGAGTGAACCCAAGTTCTACCTTCCAGTATAAGGACAGTTAAACATGAAACGTCCAGCCAAACTTTAGCCCACAATTTTTTGCTTTGCGTACTCTCGTGCATATCGATGCACCATATGCATGATGCCATAAAGCTTGGCATGTGCTGCCAAGGGTGGATTTAGGGGGAATGATATGGATGCAGCAGATGCATGTTCTGCTGGGGGTCACTCTGTAGCCAGACAGTTGACTGGAACTAAAACAAACACCAGTTGGGTCGCCGTGACGGCAGTGACCCCTAGTCCATTCGCCTTTTTCACCGGCATTTTTACGACCAATTGTGAGGATCGTGACACACGCTGGTTTCTATGTACATTGATTGCCACTTTGGGACCACTTTCGATGGGACCACTTTGGGACCACTTCTTACTTCGTGCAACCGAGTAAGACTGCCTCACCCCATCGTACGTGTCTTCAGCTAGCTGCCCCAGGGCCGGTTTGCCGGTCGATGCGACTCGGCGGTTAATTCACCCAGAAGAAAGATTTTGAGCTTGTGACCGGCCCCGCAGGAATGAGAAACTAAGGGTACTTGGCATTGCAAGCAACCGGCTGCCATAAGTCCATCCTCGCTTCAACGATTTCCATCCAATTTTGCTTTCAGAAAGAAAGTGAAGGGGCTCAAGATGCAAGCAAAATGGACCATGTTATCAAGTTTTAGGAGCAGCACGTAAAGTTACATCCGGGGAAGGTGGCATCAAGCAGGAATGGAAGCAAACTGTGGGCGAGGCTCACTTCGGCGGAGTGGAATTGGCCAGAGCACCGGGTACTTGCTCCCCGTGGAGCCAGTCGTGCGACCTCTAAATCCTACTTGCGAACAAGTCAACTAGCAAGAGACATGCCCGTTTCGATCGGCAAACCAAAAGCATCTTATATTGCCGGCTTCGGCCAGCTCGCGGCCGGACATTGTCGAAGGAGGTTTCCCTCGGTGACTTCTTGTTCTGTCACGCTCCAGGGAGAAGGAGAAGGAAGAGGAGGCGCTTCGGGACCAGCAGGATGAGGACGGAGAGGACGGCTGCCCGTCGTCGGGTGATCAGCAGTCTGGCCCCTGGAAGATGTCCGCGGCCGCCGCCCAGCAGGCCCTGGCCGCCGCCCAAGCCGAGCCGGAGCCGGAGCCAGAGGTGCCTCCCCCAAGGATAGGTAAGCATGGAGCGTCGTGCAACGTAATCGCCGGCAGGGCTAGAACAGCAGGAAGGTTCTTCAGTTGTTTCGCCTGCAAGTCGAGATTCTACAGGGCGGCGAAGAGCCACAAGCGCATGCTGGAGGCTGGGCGTCTCAGGGAGACGCCCTGCTGTTCTTGTTTCAAGGGCGACTATATGGCTTGTTTTGCTGTGTGCGCGGGCGAAGCTGAAGCTATGAGTATGTTACTTTTTAACTAAGCTTGTACTGCGCAAACGCACAGTACAAGCTTAGTTTATACCATTTTGTTCTTAGCCCGAGACTGAGGCAGGAAAAGAGGAAAGTTTCGAAGTAGAAGAAAAATGAACAGTCGAACACGTCTCATAGAGACGTGTTCTCGACTGTTCATTTTTCTTCTACTTCGAAACTTTCCTCTTTTCCTGCCTCAGTCTCGGGCTAAGAACAAAATGGTTAACATCCACCAGCTCGCCTGCGCAATCACTACATTATCTTAGTTTATACGTTGGTACAATTGACAAATAAATCTTCCGGAAAACGCAAATTACTCCGGCCTCTTTCTGCACTTAAAGGCCAATATTTAACTGTTTTCTGCGAGGGTGGTAATCATCTTAGCGCTCCCCTCTCGTAAGCTGCAAGGGGAGCCAAGTTGGGGAAGGGTAAAGTGGAGAGGATATAATGTTCGTTAGGGGGTCAAAAGTGGAAAGTGTGCAGTGTATGTTGGGGGCCTTTAAACAAGGAGTCTTTGTCGTCAACAAACATACATACATACATACATTTTATTTTGAGTTCGAAGCATATTGCAATCTGCCCCCATAAGCCAATAAGGAGATCCCAAACGAATGCCTATTCACGAGATAAGTGGGGGAAATTATGGAGTGGGTGTTTTTACTGGACGAGGCGGTGCAATTTTATGCGAAATGCAGCTATAAACAAACGGGCACCCATCACAAACTGCGGTCACCGAGGAGGGAAGAACGACTGAGCGTGGTCTTTCAAACGCCCGGCCTCCAGTATGCGCTCCTTTTGCCTTTTCATTCTGGTAGACGAATGCCAAAAGCAAGCCCCTTACTCCCTCGTAGTTTCATATAGTTGTATAATGTCAAATTATATGTAGCAACAACGTAGAAAATCAACAAAGAAAATATTACAAAATGTATGGCTTTTTGCTAGTTCATTTGTTCCTTTCAATAACTTATTACGCATATCTTTGTGATTGATATAAGGTCTACATTATTGTATATAGGAGAGCATTCAGCATAGTAAGGAGTGTGTATTTTAGTGTTTGCATTGAATAATTGTTAAGGTAAAGTGGCACAATCGACTGTTCCGCCAAGCAAGTTGAATGAGTAATAGCTGCTGTGTGATGCAGCCGGTGTGCACCGGTTGTATTCGGTGCACACTGCCATATTCGATTTATGAGTGCAGTTTATCTCAAAACACGACCAGATGTACGTTGCCCTGCGCTACTCTTTTCTGCACCAGTACAGGCTGGTGCAGGTAAAACGAATGGGCCTATAATGTTTCATGATAACTTGGAAATCTGTGGACGCCGCAGCCACCTCACCTAATAACAGCATTAAAGCATGGCAAAACGCTCCGTGGTCGAGCCTCATTACCGCCACAGCAACAGCATTCTCCGATACAAAATGTAATTCAACGCTTCTTTTAGTAATGTTGCGATTAGGCTCTTCTGACCGCACCACTGCATGACGCAGAAGAAAGACGAGGACATGTTACTTTTCAGCTATAGTTAATACAGATCAACACTTTTCCGAGAAGAACATGGCTCTTGAACAATGTTTAAACAATCAAGGCCATGTAATTGGCTGCTTCCACTCAAAACATTGTGCCCTGGCACAAGCACCTGCCACAGATTCGCAAGTAAATTGAACGTATTGTTGTCTCACGACCTGTTCCAGAATAGCTCGCTACTCTAGCAGACGGCAATGTTGCAACGGTAGACGTTCATCCAAATTCGGTTGGTTTCACAGCAGACGACTGCCCGTTCCTCCTGGCGTCGTCTTTGGCGCAGTGACACGAACGCTCAAACGTAAAACCAAGATGAGTCAAAGAATTTTATAAGAGCCATTTGGCAGGTAGTCTGCTTTTTTATTAGCAATTGTTGGCATGCACCGCCTAGGGCGGTGCTTGAGAGGAGGGTTGGCAACAAAGAAGACGAGATGACACCAATAAGTAAAAAATTTTTAGTACTTGGGAACTCGCTTATTGCAGCTCTTTATTTTTTAGACCATTGTTGTGAGATAATGTGTGCATAATCCCATTGGAGACTCGGCCAGCATTTCCTTCTAGCCAGTTTGGAACGGCAGCTTGTGATGTAATAAACCGGGGGTCTCCAGACCCCAGCCCGTGGCTGGCCGCGGTCATTTCAATAAAGCCCGGCCCTTGGCCCGCTTCCAGCTGGCTCGCTGCTACCGGCACAAGAAGTAAAGAAAGGGCGCCACACCATGCACAGACCGCTTAAACTAAGGTAGCACAAAGAATGAGGAGAAGCTGCCTATTGTAATGCAGGTCCTCTTGCTATAATATTGATTGGATATTGTCATTCCCAGCATCGCTATTCTTAGTCCCCCGATTCATATCTGTGTTTGCTACAATTCCTTCATATTCCCACATATATTGTGCTTCATGTCCCGTGTTGTAACTTTCATATTGTCGGCATGAGTTCTACAAGTCTCATTAGTGTTCGGCCCTTTATCAACATGCCAAAGTTCCTAGGCACTTTGTTCTACGAGTTTTTTTGGTCCCAATTATTGTGTAATGCCACACTTAGCTAAATATTTAATTTTAATATAAAGTAGATGTATTAGATTATTTTTTCTTGGTTACTCTAAGTTTCAATTTTGTATTTAAAAGATCCTCAATCCAGCCCCTTAGCCAAATAGTTTAAAGATCCCCGTTCTAAACGGTAGTGTGGCAGCAGACGGAATTCCTGTCAAACACGACGCAAACTTGATGGGGCGGGTGACGTTCCAGTACGCTTCTCCCACAGATCTTTAGCCAGGAAAAATGGCATGGGCGATCTTCTGGGGCTGCACATTCATTCGAAATTTTGCGACAGACAAATGTCAAGGGTAATTTTTAATCCGTGGTCTTCTTAGTCAACTATAGACCAAATGGCATTGCTTTTCACAGACAGGATTTGAAGTGAGTTCCCCTTTAATCAAGATTGTCCAGCAAAGTGCTGGAAATACTTAATAAAACATATGAGATGTCCAAAGCCTGGATCACAGATTTGCGTCGGAGTGTATTCGAGTGCCTTGCACTCTTGCTCTTAAACTGAGAGAACACGATGGCAAAGTGTGTTCTTTCGAACAGAAAAAAGCGTAGGAATGCGGCTCAAATATGTGCTTGAGTGGTTTAGGCAGCGATTGCAAACACACAAGGACGACAAGCGCCATGACTAGGCACCTTTGGCCCCGCTTGGTTGGCTTCGTAGGGTCGGCTGCGGTCGTAATCGAAAGTGAAACAGAGCGTAGTTCTTCCTGCCGCCCCCATCCCACCCAGTGTGGCATCGTCTGCTGCAGAGCCAGAGCCCAAGGAGGCGCCTAAAGCCGGGCAGCCCAAGGCGGCGTACGTTCCCCCACACCTCCGCTCCGGCGGCGGCAGCAGGAGCACGGCTGGCGGTCCGTCGGCGGCCCGGAGGCTTGGCGGTGGGCGCCAGACATATGACTTCACCAGCGAGGACCAGTTCCCAACCCTCGGTGCAGCCGTGGAGACGCCGCGCTGGGGGCCAGCACGCCAGGGGTGCGTACACCCTTGCCCATTCCTCGGAGCTGTCCGTTTGCCTTTCATCTGCCGTCTGGAATAGACCTTTCGAAAGTCCGTCGAGCAACGCTGGCGGCCTCCGTATTTTGGGCGTCACTTCCTGTACTAAGCGTTTGATTAGAATGGAGTTTGCTGCTCCGAGCACTGGCATGGCACCAGTATCCAATGCATGCTCAATGTACCTGGCATTTCTAAGAAAAGGAACCTGTGCTTTTTGACCCCCACTTAAATTATGCATTGCAGAAAGGTGAAACTTCGCGATGACGTGTCGCTAGCAGTTCTAATAAAATCTCTCAAGTTTGAGAACATGAGGTTACTTGAACCAAAAAATGAGAACGCCGAAGTTTCTCTACGAGCCAACATCCACCTAAGCCTAATATTGTTGAAACACCAAATGACATTGTGCACACCTGCAGCATCTATCTTAGTGAAAAGAAGCTTGGCAGCAAGAAAGAAAACAATATTCTCTTTCTTGCTGACAAGTGCTCTTCGATGCTAAAAATGCCACTTGCATCCACCCCTTTGGTGACTACAGTCGAACCTCGATATAACGAACTTCAATGTAACGAAATCTTCGATTTAACGAAGTATTTTATTTTTCATAATTTCTTGCCCATAGACCCCATGTATTTTTAGTCTCTATATAACGAAGTCTAAGTCTATAACGAAGTGCCATTGCCATAGAAGGCAATAAATAAATCAACTCTAAAAAACAACTTCGCAAAAAAATTGTGGTTAAAAAAAAAAAAATTATGCGCAAACGCGAGCGCTTGATAGGTTACTTCACGGGGACAGGCCTTCCAACGTTCCTAGGCTGCCCGAGGATGCGGCGCCGGTAGCGCCGGCGAGGCATGCGGCAAAGCGGATTCCGCGAGGCTGGCCAGAAAATGCCGAGCAAAAAGTTAACACGGCATACCAGCATCACCACTGACATTCACTGATAACCATAGTCCACTCCACTGCACCGCGGGTAGCGCGGGAGCCAACTTCAGCGGGGGAGCGACGTGATGGCGCGACCGCACGGGCAGTGCCATCTAGGAGAAGACCGAAAAGACCGATTATCGTCTTGCGAGCGTGGGCGCAAGCATCACTGTGGGGGCAAGGGTGGCAAGGGGGCAAGTAAACTGTGCGGTGAAGAGTGCTGTGTAGGTTGGAAACATTGGCACCGCCTAAACTGCCTAAACTAAACAGCTTTATTTTTTAACCGGGCGGTTCACTTACGTGCTTGCTGCCATAAGGAAACGTAAAGTTCTTTCTTTGGATGAGAAAGCAAACGTTTTGGACGCCATCCTGAAGAAACTGCCGAGATCACGAGCACTCGGGAAGTGCTCGACGCAATGGACGTACTGAGGAGGTACACGGCGTCGCATGGGCAGCAGGATGCCGTGCAAGCGCTCTGGGCGCTCGAACGCCGTATGACGCCGCTGCTACTGTCGGACAAGGCGCAAGCAAAACTCGCGGACTACTTCGCCCCTAAATAAATGTCATTTTCGGTGAGTTTTCATACCCGTAAAATGTTTCGGAATTTTTTTTCGCATGCTAAAGCCAAATTTCGATTTAGCGAAATTTCAATGTAACGAAGCAAATTGCGAATTTTACCGACTTCGTTACATCGAGGTTCAACTGTATTAGGCTTTGGTGGATGTCGGCATGTAGAGAAATTTCATCTTTCTCATTTATCTTTTTGACCCGAGTAAGGTGTGGGAACCACATGTTCCCCGCATCCCTATCTAGGCCTAGCTCAGGCAGGCCATGGGGCGTCGCCATGTCGGGGCACGTCCCAGATACGAGGCGAGGCCATATTCCCTTGCGGATGGCTCTCCCTCACCCTTCTTGGGTGATTTACCGAAGGCACACCACTCAAAATCTTAATTCTTGGACGTGTCCGACCCTCCGGGGAGCCGACTTACATCCGACCCACCCCGGGTGCGTCCATTCCCGCAGGCTATGTAAGACCGCCCATATCCAACGGGAGTGACTCTCGCTGGGAGAGGCTCTGCTCGGCGGAACCTTCCTTGTTTTTACTGATCCTCCCCCTCCGTGATACTGTCAATTGCGGCAGCACGGACTCCGACTGGCGATCCTGTCAGAAGGGGCAACGCCATTATCTCGGACATTTGTTGGCCCTCGGGCAAACGTGTGGTGTTATTAAATAAACTCGTTATTTGGACCCAAGACACCTTTTGTGTTTCTAAGTGGTGTCCCCAAAGGGGAAACCCACGAAGGTCATGTTCTCAAACTTTTGCATTGTATTCCAATTGCCAGCATCACGTTCACACTGAACTTGAGAGTAGAGTGCAACCCACTTATAGACCTTTTCGGCCTCCGTCGCATGGGCGGTGCCATCTTGGAATCGCATGACGGGGCCGCCATAAGATGGCTTCAACTAGTCGCTCCACTCGCGCTTCCGCGACATGGCGAAGGCATTGCATTCGAGTTTTTTGTCGCATTTCTCCGCGTTTCTCGCCTTATTGTAAATCGCCGCCCGATATTTACATTTACAACTTAATTGCATGCCATCGTTATGTGCACGACGACATATGCAGTGAATTTTGTAACAGATGTGTACTATTTTCACCGTTGGCGCACCGGTTACACGTCTGGAGGAAGGAGGTACAGGAATCAACGTCAGACCTGGCGCATATTGAGCCCAATTATTCATGACAACTGAAGTTTGCACAGTGATAGTGGCGGAATATTCGAAATAAGTATAGTGCAATGTATATGTATAATCTCACATTACTATGTATATGTATAATCTCACAAATACTACTCAGCATACGAAGCTATGTGTGTTTCCTGATAGCCTCCGGCCTTGCCTTCATAACAAGTTGAAAATAGTTGTTTTTGATTATATAGGACATATTAGATATGCAGGTGACGAACGTCTAACTCACATTTATCCGGTGCTTGGGATAATGGTAACGTCCACATCGGGCAATTTGTTTGTTCACGGCATTACACCTAAATATGTTAGACGGTATTAATCGTTTTAACAATAGAAACTTTAGCTTGATTTGTTTATATATGAATTTAGAGAAACTGTACATTATGTTTGGTCACATATCTGCAGTCATTAAAGGGTGTTAAAATGTTTTAATGCAAAATTTAATTAATTTATTTTATTTATTTTAAACACAAAGACCCCTGTGAAATAATCTGTCACAGGCAGCTTGAGAGTGCCTAGGGCTTGCATTATGTGATGCCGAGAAGAAGCCATCTATATGGAAATCAACCAAGTTCAGGGTTGTTGATTTTAAATCGCATCATTTTTGCATCGAGATCTGTCATGAGGGTTCATGAAGACGTGCCTAGCATTCGACTTCAACCAAACGTACGAGAGATCGCTTCTCTTGTACCCTTAATTTTATTTTGCAAAGTTTATACAAAGACAAAATTTCAGATTTCAATTGATGGACCTCACTTATCTCATGTACCAAGCACGTCGTAATCAAATGTCATTAAAACAAATAGTTAATTATCTGATGGCAACGTTCTGGAATGCTGTTAATAAGTACTTTAGCAAGGTCAATAGCTAAAGGAATTTCCCACCCGACCTAGGACGGACTATCCAAATATATCTCGAGTACTTGATATTTTTTTTTAAGAAAACGGCTTGAGGCATTATCATTTACTTAGAATATCTGCGTATTATAGGAGACATTTCAAGTTCCTTAAGTTCACAGAAAGTTGGTGTCCGCAAAAATCAGTAAGTGAACTTGCGACTTCATGCGTTTTTTGTGATTTAGGTTTTTAATCAGGTTGAGGACCTGCATTTTTACTGTATATCTACTAATTAGTCTCTTCATTAGTTTATTTCTCTGAAAACTAGGGTCAGTGGGTCAGGCCGTAGGCGATGGGAATCCTCCCAGTGCATCATAGTCGTTTAGCCGCCAAACCTGACCGAAATTAACGACGAATATGACCAGATGCGTCGTAAAGCGTTCGTAAAAAAGTCCGCAAATATGACTCAAAACCACTTTGCGGTTCTCGAATTGGCTCAGTGTCACAGTTTTATTAGTTGTCTGCTATAACGGGCCCATTTGTGAGACAAAATTAGGCGAGGATGACCTAACACACCAACACAGCCGAGAGCGCGCTGCAACCGAAACCAACCAAAAACAAGCCACCCAATGGCGCCGAGTGTGTCAGCGCCGTCTGTCCGCCGGTTGGGTAACTACTGAGATGAAAAGGTCTATAACGGTCATGAGAAAACTTGAAATTTCATTCGTTATAACTGATTATCATTGTATCTGAACTAGAAACTGATCATTTCCAGTCTAGAAATTCTAGAAACTGATTGTTAAGAAGTTGTAGATTGCTATGTCTGGTATTGTTATAAGTGGGTTGCACTGAATAGTTCATTTACGCCGGCCGAAAAACGTGGTCTCATGAATGCCCGGTACATGCCGAAGATATGACTCCCTCAAATAATCAACGCAGCTATCACTGGATGGCACACACTTCTGAAAAGGGTCTGTTCCGTGGGAAATTTTTCAAAGACTGTAGTAGTCCCGAGTCTAGAGGATTACTGAGGGTTTATTCCCAGCCAGCAGGTCGGAAAGACATGGCCAGCTGCCAGGTTTCCAGCTTGTCGAAGAACTGAAGTTTCGAGCTCCCATGTTCGAGCTCGGGCTGTGTTGAGGAAGACGAGCATCTTTTGCAGTCACCACATATACTTCCCCGGCTTGTAATGGTCCGGCTCGAGACGGCTGCGAGTTGGATATGTCCTACTTGTTTCTGGCTGCAGTGAAGAGGCCGAAGAAACTTGGGTGTCTGTAGTCTCCTGCTGGGTGTCAACCTGTGAAGTCCCTGTCAGATCCATTTGTCGGGATCATCGTATGGCATCCTTCAGCTGATCTGCCTGGACCCAACGGGTTTTGTGATTTTTATCTGAAACTTTTGTAGATGACGTTGCCAATTCTTGTGACGATGCCTTTTATCCAATGTTGTTTGTGGAGGGGATGCTTTATCCACAG